AACCATGGCTTCGGCCAGGGTAGATGGCATGAAGTATCGCCTATTGCTGCGAAGGCCATGTTGCTTGGCCAGCAGTAGTTTTCGGGATCGTTTCGCATTAGGCGCTGCTCGAGCAAGTCCTCCTGGGGTCTGTTGCGCATCTCCAGTCCACAATATGAGTGGCTGTTTCCGAAGAAGGCTGATTGTGGCGATCTCGCGGTCAGTTCCGTACTGTTGTCCTTCGTCAATTACCATGAGGGAGAGGTCTTGCATAAAACCACTCATTGTGGACCACTGCATGGTAAGATCTTGACTAACTGTGCCACCTGTAGCCGTGATTAGTTGACATTTGCCGAGCATTTGTCTCCGTTCTCTTGGGTTGATGTCAAATCTCGTGTGGGAATAACTGGACTTGTTCCTCTCCTGGTCTCCTACCAGCCTCCCTAAACGCCTAAGCACCGCCTCTGGCGGGTCAAGCCATTGCAGGAGGTCTGCGAAGGAGCGGGTGCCTGAATTTTCTTTGCATAGGAATAAGATTTTGAGCTTGTGTTCAACATCGAGTTCGATGAGTGCAAGGATGAGGATCGCCATGGATTTGGACTTTCCAGCTCCAAACAACCCTTGAACGCAAGGGTCAAGCCTTCTGCTGCGTAAGACAAGGCAGTGTTCCGGATCCATTCGCTTGCTTTGATTGCAATGTGGCAGGGGGTGAGAACCTGTTTTAAGAGTTGACCACACAGTGACAACAGGTAAGATCGTTTATCTCCGTCCATGCCATTAACTGCTACTTGCAAATTGTTAATTCCGAGCCCTAAGTGATAGCGGCACTCTGGTGTCTGTGCTACGGCAGTCATCTCACTTGTGGACTTGGTGATTCCAAACATCCACATGTCTTTAAGCAGGAAATTGGTCAGTGCTGCATTGGTGGGAACCATGGGTGCCAGGCCATGCCCACGTGCTAGGTACCGATGTTGCAGTACCTGAAACTGATCCTCTGCAAAGAATTCTGTGGCTGGTACTGTTAGGAAAGCTACTTCAATGGCTTTGGGGTTGCATTGGCGGTAGATGCGGGCAGCGGGGAGTTCATTCTTATTTTTGCTTGTCCGTGGCGTGATCCCTAGGACTAACCCAAACAGGACATAGAGTGTTCCCCCGGTTGCATCTTCTGCGTTGGTTACACCTACCATTGCAATAAGTCGCCCCGTCCCAATGGGACAGACTTTGTGATGGTGTGCTTCGCTTTCCAACAATTGGCGTACATCTGTATGGGCCAGACTGGGGTGCCGGAAGGCAAATGCGTCGTATCCTCCTGTGACTTTCCAGTGGCCGAACTCGCTCCCTTGAAACAGGTACGACAATTGAATGGGTTGCCATTCTTCACGGACAGGGCCAGCACTCTGCATGGTGAGTCCTGTTTCATTATAACCATCATTGGGGCTGAGCATGGGCAGGTAGTAATCAAGCATGTAAATGGCCATCGGCAGCTTCAATGTACACAGGAAGTGTTGGACCATCGTGGTGTAGCTTGGCATTTGTGCTCTCGATGCAATGTGTACTGTGGCCAGCGTGGCCAGGTACTGAGTGGCATCTTGTTCAGTTTGGATATTGGCACGGCGTTGGCCAATGTGCTCTACCAGCTGTGCGTTAGTTGTATCGGGGTTCTCGCACAGTATGGCCAGTTCGCGCACTAAAGCCTTTGCTCGGTGGTCGAGTTCGAAGCTGCACCATGAGATCAACCTTAATGGGGCTTGTGCATAAACTTCAAATGGCAATACGCCAGGTATTTGCTCAAGAGTAGACAGGTCATGTCGTCCTTCTGGGAGCGCTACCTTTGTCCAGTGTGAATAGTTGTGTTGTGCGTTGCCAAGGTAGGCCCTCCAACCTGTGACGTAGGTGCTTCTGAAGTCAAACTGTTGGAGTTGCAACATATCAGTTCTGGATGGGTTCCATACACACAAGCGTTCTTCAGCATGGTGAATTAGGTGCAGTTGTCTCTTCGCGGAACGTTTAGGTTGTGTCATGTAGTTGGGGGGAAATGCCACGGCTGCAAGCACAGTTGTGCTAAGATTTCCTCCCACACCATACCTGCATACGATCCTGCACTGTGGCCACGGATGGATAGTCCTACACCAATCTGTTCTGCCTGTCGATGAGATTCCGCTGTGGTGAGATTCGGCGGTCGGCAGATGCCTGTTAGGGGGTGCGCTGCAATTAGTTTGGTGAAGAGTCGAAGGCTCTGTTTGTACCCTAGCCATGTCGGTTTGCGATGTGCTGGGGTGATTGAAACCTGCATCAGGTGGAGGCTGGACGAAGATGCCTGTCTCCTGCGAGGTGGCGGGGGATTGGTTGCGAGCCCTTCTCAAAGATGTCCCTGGCCCAAACAAAGGGGCGCGTATCGCGACACACTCCTACAAATCATCCATCCTTTCTATGTGTGCAAAATATGGAGTTGAACCAGCGGCACGGAGGTTACTGGGATACCACACCGCTGGACGTGACAAATCCATGATCACATACAGCAGAGATGCAATGGCCTGGCCTATCAGGCTCATAGAAGAGATGATCGACCAGATCAACGAGCAGCGCTTCTTTCCAGATGCCTCGAGATCAGGCTATTTCCTGAAAGGAGTTGACTTGCCTGATGATTCCAAGGACGTCGAATCCACTTCATCGTCTGGAGACTCCAGAGACGAGGAAGAAATGGATCACAGTGGCGACGAAGCTGCGGTGAATAGATTCGCAGGAGCTTGGGGTGGCACTGGGACCCATGACGAGGTCGAATATTTCAGGCACAAGACTTCGAGATGTCTTCATTGCACTGCAGACGAAACTGGACAACTTTTCAAATGCAGAAGGATGGTGACTTTGCAATACAACAAATGCTCAGAAGTGCCTGCGTTCCTGCATCCCTCCTGTGCAGGATGTTTTCGACGTTGATGCTATGAAAAATGATGCAGCTGAAAATGAGCTTTTTCTGGGATACATGTGTTGGGGTGGATTGCATTTAAGTTTTGCTTGAACCTCCAAGTGATTATATCAAATGCCTTTTTATTCAACCGAGGGATGCACATGCTTTTTACATGATGATGCAATTCATCAGCACATGCAGTAGCTGACATTACTTGTGAATGCACGCAAGTTGAACTCCAAGTTATGCCACCAGTGGGAAATGTGTGGTACTCGACCACGTGCAATCATGCTGACACCCTATGCCGGGTTTAGTGCAATTGAAATGCTATCAGATGTTTATGCTGCATCTCCGCATTGCACATGAGCTGTGATGAATGTTAAAGCATCCTGAGTTTTTATGCTCAAGGCATAATGAGTTTTGGGGACAGCTCGGCCGTTGTCGAGCAACACTCAAAAGAGATTGGTCTCGAGGCTGGAGTTGTCCAACATTTCAAGGATGCCAACCTTGACACAATGGCGAAGTTTGCATTTGCATGCAATTTTGCACCTGGTGGCAGTGATGACACGCCGCTCAAGAACCTCATCAACAAGGTGTTAGGTCGTGATGCGACGCTCGTAGAAGAATCATGTTTGAGAAGGCTATTCAATGAATCATATGCTACAGTAGCAGCTGACATTCGGGTTCAGACTGAACAGACAAACGAAGACACACACCGCAAGTTAGCACCGGCAGACCGTGCAGCTAGGTTGGTGGAACAGCAGAAAAGGTTGACTTGAATTGACATCAGGGGACCTTACGAACCTGGCGACACTGTTGTGGACAAATTTGTGAGTTTTTATGAAAGCGACAGACTTCAGTGGATCAGCTGGGACCAGTGCATCAGCAGGGAACAGGAACTTACCTCGAACAACAAAAAGGACCAGAGGTTAGTTGTCCAGACCTCAGGTGAACTCAAGATTTCAAGTTCCAGCAAATTTGAACCGTGTGACATTTCCTCGGAAATTCTGCTGCGGTATTGTTTCATCAGAAGAGCCTTGGCAATGGAACAGGCAAACATATTGGCATATCAACACCGCGAAAGATGGCTTGAGAAAATCATGTCATGCAGGTTGGAAACGGTGCCATCAGGTTTTGCCAGGACCACCTTTCAGCAGATTGAAGCGGCCGACAAGAAGCTATTCATTTTGCTAGGCGAGAAGACTCGCAGTGGCATCAAGGCTGGTGCAAACGGTAGGCCCCGGTAGGCCTTGTGATTTGCATTTTGAAACTTGTATGAATAGCACAGAAGTCATGTCTCTGTTGCAGCCGAAACCCATTGCAGTCAGACCCAGAGAAGATGAGCCACCTGCTAAGAGACCCCGAAACGAAAAGGCTGGCTATGAAAAGGGACAGCAGGACAGACCTTCGAAAGGTCGAGGAAAATGCAAAGGAAAGAACCAACAGAACCAATTCATGAGGATCCCATCAGAATTGTTGAATCTGGGGTGCGCTGGGGCCACATCGCAGGGCAACAGGCTGTGTTTTTCTTTCAATTTGAAGAAGTGTTCCAACAATGTGCAGAATCAGCGATGTGCATTTTTCATTTCAGAGATTGCAGTCATGCTGGCTGTGTTTCAATGCAGAAATGATTCAATGCACAAATGCCGATGTCAAATGCAAATTGACAAATCGATGCTATGCAGCGTCATCATTCGAGATCGAACTCCCCTTTGATCGCAGTCGCAGAAAAGAGTGCCAAGCCGATTTCAATCTCAGCCATTCACATGTCAGTTTGATGTGTCTTTCGAAAAGTCAGCCAAATAAATATTTGATGCGATATGTTTTATAATTTGGTATCCCCTCTGTATATGTATATGATATACGGTGGTAAGATACTCTGGCGTATGCTACGCTACTTTGTGTTATGCGGGTTTGCCAAGGTCGCTGAAACCATAACGATGCTGGAAGAATTCCCCTGGAAACTGCGATTCCGTTTTTCTCTCATACCGATGAAGGGCGTTCATACAAACATTTAGGACTCTGGGTGTTGAGTTCACATGGAGTACTTGGTCGCGGAACCAGGCGATACCTAGAGTCACAGAGCCACCTCAAGCCATTGGAAAACAATGAGATGGGTTTGAACTTTGCAGGTGCCACTTGGGCCACGCAGTTTATCTTCTCCACCATGATCAAAACAACCTATACCAAACATCCAGAAGCACAAGATGAACTTGTCAGGCTTTACGCTGAAGATGTCAAAGAACTGCTGTTTGAAGGGATTACCAAGAGGGATGGTTCCATCAAGGTACATTTGGTACATATTGGAACGAAAGGTGATCTTCCAGCCTTGGTTCGTTTGGGAGGGTTTGAACGCAGTTTCTCCCATGTTCCACGTCAAAGTTCTTCAAGGACACCATGCAAGGGGATATGTCATCTTTGCCTTGCGGGGGTTGAGATGGGACATGAATATGACCGGTCGATCCCGTTTGAAGACATGTTGCCCACTGCCTTGTGGATTGAGACGCTGCACACAAGTGTGGCTTGGAGCTCCCCACCTACGATTTTGGATGGTCTGCCATTACTGGAGAAATATGCCATAGAGTTCTTCTTGACAGACTTGTGGCACAATTTTCATCTAGGTGTCTCAAAGAGTTTTGTGGGTTCAGCCTGGGTGTCAATCATCGAGGCCAACATGGATTGCCTGAGGGGCTCTGTTGAGACCAAATTTAGCCAGTTGACGTCTATGTATTTGGAATTCTTCAGAAGCCAGGGCAAAACACCTTTCATCACTGAAATCAGCCGGGAAACCATGGGATTTCCAATGGGGTCGGTTTGTCCAGTTGCAAAATGGTCAAAGGGGCAGGCATCAACGGAGATGATGTTGTTTCTAGACCATTGGTGCAAACAGTACATTGTGAACAAGACCGATGATCCGTTGCTGCTTGCAATTGTTTCCCCGTTCAGTTTCAGTATGTATACTTTTTGCAAACTATCAGAAAACCTTTGCATAAAGGGAGTAGGTTTTTTTTGTTCCCTACATACCTTTCCACCTACCAGTTTGCTGCCACTCAGGCTGAGGGTGCCAGTGTCGTCAACAAGGCCTTTGCTACACAATATGGCTCAGGGTACTGGGTTCGAAGTGCGAAAGCGGCTTGGGTGGGAAGCTTGATGTTTGGGTTCCTCGCCTACTATTCCATTTGTGCTCACATCACCCTGCGCATGTCCAAACAAAGGTTTCCTATGACCCCGAAACATCACATGATGGCACACGATGCCTATGGACTGGTGGACCAAGCTTCAAAATACGAGTGGTGTGAGAATCCCATCAGTCACACAAATCAAGTACAGGAAGATTTCATCGGAAGGCCAAATAGGCTGAGTCGCCGAGTTTCAACGAAATCTCTTCATTCTTCAGTGATGTTGAGAGCCCTTATCATTTATGAGGATTCCATCAAAAATGCTGACGATGATCATAGACATATGGATGCCTATCCTGGGTCTAATTGATTGCTGGGGCCAAACTTCAATAATACCATTGGGACATCTTGGAACTAAAACTTGTCAGCCATCTAACTCCCCAACCATATCCAACAAGTTAGTCCATGGCCCTTGCAGTCAGATCTGGGGCTTGCACTTAGCAGGATGCAGGTCGACGCACCCGAGCGCTTGGGGTAAAAAAGGGGGCAATGGACCGACCCAGCTGGAAACAATTACATCAAGACCCCAAACCAGCATCAGTTTATTTTTTTTGGGGTATGATTTTGACCTGATGGATAAATTATATCATGTTCTCCTTAAGTTGTTGCACCAAACGTTTCTGAAAAGTGATTCAATGATAAATCATGGTTTACCCCAAAAATGGAAAAGATTGCCTTTTGGACAAAAGGGCGTATTTTCACATTCATGAATTTCATCCACCCGTATATTCATCCCTCAGATCAAAATAGAGGAACAACCTGTTCCAGGTATATATATAAATAAATAAATATACTGTATATAGTGATAGACCGAATTTTGTGAAATGTATATTGTGAATGGGAAAGAATCGGTGGTGCATTGTGTTGGTATGGTTTACACATCCACAACAGTAGAACTTTGTGACGGGGAAAAGGAGTATATTGTGGTGAAACATAGGCAAACAAAAACGAACTTGGTAGGACACATTTGAATGACAAATCGTGGAAAACATTTTTGCAGAACACTCTTGGGGGATGTGGTTGTAAAATGGGCCGGTTGAACATGTTGGAAAACATCTGTGCGAAATTCATTAAACATTTTCAGCGAAACACTTTTGGCAAACTTTGGCGGGACATCTTTGGACATTCTTGTGGGACATTATTATAAACACTCTTGTGGCATTGTCGTCTTGGACACTCTTGGGGAAACATTTTTGTGGGACAAATTTTTGACGTGCAGTGGGACAATCCTGACGGACGTTCTTTGGATATATATCGCCGAAGAGATCCACATCGTGCGGAAGTGCACAACATGCAGACTTGCGTTTTGAAGGGTGACCTTCATCAGTATGCTACCTGTTCAAGGGCGTTTGAGGCCTTAGAAGTGTCCGACGCTCTAATACGTAATTTCACCAACCAAAACAAAGCGCTGAATCCAGGATCCATACGAGGCTTCGAAACTTGACCCAACAACATCGCAGTGACAAACGACAACCCAGTAACAGGAACATGTGCCAGGCGAAATGAAACTTCGCCAAATATTGCGTGGCTCGTCGAGGCAGCACTTTCATTCCCATGCCCAACAACGCAGTGGAACGTTTTGAAAGGTGCGCCAGCCAGGCGACATGCAACCAGCCTTTTCCCAAAAATGGCATGATCGACCGGAATTAGATTTTACGATAACGGAACAATATCATTGCAAATTGCAAAAATGGCACGAACTCGGCCGAGGATATGCACGCATAAAAATCACAGGAGAATGCTTGAACCCACTCACCACATTTAACATGTTTGTTCTCAGACCGCACATTTGGAATGTCAGTTCTGAGGCAAGACTCTCCTGTATGACTCAGTCAAAAAAAACATATCTTGTAAGCAGGGGTGAACTTACTGCAAGACAAAATCATGCAAAGAGCTAGCAAACCAATGAATGGAACACATCAGGTTTCAAGATGTCGAAGTTACCAACTCCATCTGTGGTGAAAACTTGATGTGTTCCTATAATGTCAGAAAAAAAATATTACAACACATGCCAGTCCAACTAATCTTTTTCGTGGCATTGCATACCTGCGAAGGATGAAGTGATTGCTTTCATCCTATCCCACCCAACCCCACCTGTCATAGCATCATGCAATTGTTCGGGTAGGCATTTTGCAAAAACTGCCCTTGCCTTATCCAATCATCCGAACAACAAAACGCAGGCGTGCAAACTTGCGGCATGACTATCAACGCAATCAATTGTAGTATCCAACGTGTGTGTGTGTGTGCGTATGTGCGTATGTGCATGCTTAGCATAGAACTTCGGTGGAATGTTGGCAGTTGTGAAGAATTCAAGCGTTTGGGGTTGCTGCACGTTACGACACTTTCCCATATTTCAAATTTAACGATTTGAAACCGATTCGGGAAAACCATTTGCACCTAAAGAGCTGTTGGCGGACAAATGCGTGGGGTGCGGCAATTTTTTTGATTAATTTCAGGGACGCATTGTTTACACCATAAAGCGATATTGGGAAAAAATTGTCTTTCCACCTGCATGGTTGTTGGCCACACAGCTACAATAACTAGTTTATGACAAGGTGCGGAATTTGGCGAAGACCCATGCTTTCTTGCCAATGAAAAGGGTCAGCCTAGTAGAAAGAAACGGCGTGTTGACTCGGTGCGCAGGGCAGCTAAACCCATATATGAATCAAACGTTACGGAACCCACTGTGGCACATATAAAAAAACAGGACCTTCCACATTCCAACAAAAATGAGTTTTTTTTGCTTTGTGATCTTCTTGCCAGCAAAACAACCCAAAACCTGCCAAACAAGGTAGAAAGAGCAGAAGGGGCATTAGCGTAAAGTAGTAGCATAATCATGTCCGCAATGTTTGTGAACCATATTTTAGGTGGATTCATAAGGACGTAAAAAGTCAATTTTTCAAAATTTTGCCTACTAGGCGCACGGGTAGTAAACGTGCAGTGCGCGATGGGGTTCGGAAGTGGAATGCGCATGTGCGGGCGCAGGGGTTGAAAAGTGAACGTACGGGGGCGCGGATGAAGGCGCAAATGCCCTAGTGAGGTATTCGAATGAACATGCAAAGACGCGAGCAGAGTGCGCCGGTCAACATGTCACTGCGCACTTTCACATGTTCATTTTTGAGGTCATCTATTTTACTAAGTATGGCGGATGCGCATTTTTAAGGTCACATTTGGGAAAATATATTGCCTTAAATGGCCGTAAACATGAAAATTGTTTGTTGTGCAAATTTATTGCGCACATTGGTTGTGCACGTTGTGCGTCTTGACCTTGCGGGTTGCATCACATTGCGCACTTTGGGTCACACACATTGCGCACGTTGACCGTGCAGTCTGAAGTCCATATGTGCGTTTGTATGTTGATTTGTAATTTTATTTAAGTTTGGAACCTGAGTGACTTTTGCACAACCCTTTTTTATTTACTTTTGGATTCTGATACGCCAGATCTCCTGTCGGAAGGTCTGCCACATCAGAGGCTTCAGCGCAGATGTGACCATGCTGATTCAAAAACAATGCCGTGATGTTGTCACCGCTAATTGAAAGGCCATCCGCCACGCAGCTATTAGTGGAAGTGGAACTTTTTGCTCAGATGCAATTGCGCTGAACCTTGGCAGTTTTAGTGCGAATTTGCTCGAATTCCCCCCCCCCCAATCCCACAATATTTACAGTAAGTAAGGCCGAAACATACACCCAAACAACACGCAAACCTCGCAAACACTATGCAAAACCTCGCCAACAGGGTGCAAAACACCGCAACAAATGCGAGTAGGAAAATTGAAAATTGTCCCCAAACTATCGCTTGCCATTAGCTGATCTGTTTGCGGGTTGGCCAAAACAAAAATCCAATAGATCGCGGGGTAAGATTCCGAGGATCTTGTCACCTTTTGTGCGGTGCCGAATACGCACGATGCAGAAATGTTTGCGTTTATAATTGCATTCATATTTGCCACACATGAACGTATTACACTGGAATGGGAATAGATTGCGGCAGACAGAATCAGGATGCAACGGACGAGATTAAATGACATTTTTTTTTCCGGAACAGTATGGAGCACCCGGCCAGAAGGTCATCAAATGTTTCCCAACAACAACGGCTTCTGCCCCGACCTCAGCCACTGCCACCTGTACACATTTTTTTTCCGCCAACCTTATGCCCCAACTTGTTACAAAACATACAGCGACAATTACGTTTCGTGCCATGGTTTGTGGATAAAAAACATGATTGACAAAACAAACCGTCACGAAACATACACAAACGCAAAACGGCACAACAAACAACAACTTACATTTCAATTTGTGCCGAACCTGCCGATAAACGCAAATCCAAAATCAAAGGGAAACAATTCACAATGGCTCGCAATTACCTGTGCACACGGCCTGAAAACAAAGCTACGCCAGGAATCAAATGTTCGCCGATGTGGTGAAGGCATACCATTTCAGCAAATTGGTGGTCACAAGACGTTCGAAACGGTAGGCCTGCCATTGGCGGCGGGTGGAATCCTGTTCGCCGCATCGTTGTTGCGCCTTGAAACCTGAGGCATTTTCGACATACATTGTCGCAAATAACTTTCGAAAAATCACGAAAGGTAGCCTCCTAGCGGGCTACCTTGAGTTCTACTCTGCGAAGCAAAGGGGCGGGCTGGACCCCTTATCCCTGAACGACCAGGAGAAAGGGACCCCCCCCTCCCTTCCCCCCTCCCCTTCCCCCCCTCTCAAAGGGATCTCTCGCCATATGCCTCTTGAGTCTCTTCACTCCGCAACCCCTTCGCAGTGTCTTGTCATCATCACCATCATCATCATCATCAACATCATCATCATCATCACCATCACCATTATGCGAAGCGGAGTCACACCTTTTTAGTTTGAACCACAGGGGCTGTGCGTATTGGGCTCTTCACTGTACAACCAAACACAAATCAGTGTTCCAACCTCGACACTTAGGATCAGAGGTATAGTGAAGGGATATTCTTTCACCCCCCTTTGGAGCACTAGATTTGCTGGTAGACTGCTGCCAATGATGCTTTGCATCAGAGTGTGTCACCAATTTTTTTTTTCCTCCACAGAAACAACAACAACCAAATCCCTTCGAAGCGGCTGTGCAGTTTCAGTTGCAATGCTTGTTGCCTTGCCTGTGTGGTCTGGCCGTGGTCTTGCAAACTAGTTCCCTCACAGTTCCACAGTTACACAACCCTCTCAGTTTTTCCAACCGTTTACCGAAAAGGAAATTTACTGTCACGACGCCAAAGTCGCTCTGAACACTACAGAACTAAGCTTCCAACTATGGAGTCCGAACCTAAGCGCATGACACGACACAGTTTCATGTGACGTACTCTGCGATTTGAATTCTACTGCGGTGTTGCCCGCCGTTGTCCAGGCAAAACCCTGCGTCTTCGTAAGGTTGCGCCATTGTGTTCTCTTAAACTTGTAGTTGATGCCATCAGTGGTCTCCACGTCTTGAGAAAAAAAACATTTGAAACAACCTTCAAGTTGGTACGACGCACGTGTTCGTCAAATCCTTTGTCAGTCAAATCAATGATACCCAGTCCGTCCAAAGAAGCCAACATTTCACCCGACGTTGCCAAATGTTTTGCCAAAGTGTTGGCAGGATTTGCTACACCGTCAGCTTTACCAATGATTACTTGTTTGGTTTGCACAAGCTCTTGTATGTACATGTGTCCTACGGCAACATGTCTCGTCTTACCCATGCCAATACGTTTGGCAGCTTGCGACGCAGCGGAGGAATCGCACCAAACCCTGGGAGTGTCCACTTTCACATGCACCGAACTTTGCGCACAGTGGGTCGAAGAACGAATTTCAGCTTCACCTGAGCTAGTTGCTGGCACACCTGGTTGAGTGGTGCTGCCTGTTTCCACAACTGTGCTTGCCAAAACGATCACTTCTCCTGAGCTGGATTTGCGCGTTTCTTCACATCCGGCCCAGTCACTATCTGTGTATGCATGTAATGGTAAAGCCTCCTCAGGGTTCAAATCCTGAACAAGTTTACTGACATGTCCGTAATTCTTTGTCCCGACCAAATACCTTGCAAACACTGTCAAATTTTGAAAATCACAACGCCTTGGGGCATGCAATCGACGCGCAAGTTCTTTTACGGCAAATTTCACATCCGCACGATCTTGACTCAAATAAATACCGGACCCTACGCATGATGCATAGATCTCCTTTTCCTTGTCAGACAAGAGTTCCATGTTACCGGCACTACTACGGTCAAGCTTTCGTCCTGGCAACACTGCAGGTTTCGCGTCTTCTATTCCAAGTTTTCCCCAAAATGTTTTGCACGTGTTTGTCATTCGGCTTCGTCACAACACAGTCATCGATTGTGTACTTTTATCTACCCAGGTACTCGGACGACGTTCCTGGTTCACCTGCTACACCTTCTAAGTCCCCTACCTTGAGTTTACATCCGAACTTTGGGAGTTGGACTTCCAACAAATCCTTGACTGCCTCAGCTGGACCACAAACATCGAAATCATCAAAGTGACGGATCAAAATGACTCCTGACAGCTTGCAACGGTACACACATGCGTCAACCTTGCCTCTCTGAAACTTGTACTCTGCACTGTCAAGTTTGTGCAACAGAATGTTCTCAAGTTCCTGTCGATATGCTGCCGCTGCTGGCTGTCTGCCGTAAATGTTTCCGTCCACCTGCCAAACGATGTGTTGTTTTGGAACGTTTGCCAAGTCCTGTTGCACCTGCGGGTCTTGCTTGCGCAGCCAAGTGTCATAGTCATCCAACCATTCCTGCGGTGGTCTCACACATGTGGGCTGCCCTTGGTCATCGCCGCTGTCACGAGCAATGAGAAAAACACTGGCGAGATCAGCCTTTGCACGTGGGAATCTGTTCAAGAGAGAATACACCTCCAAAATTTTCAACGACGCTGGGTGTGGAATTGGGCAAAAATTGGATTGGCCTTCTGAACTCAACCGTTGTTCTGGAGTGAGTTTTTGTTTCACGTCAGCACAGGTCAGCGTACTTTTTGCCACGCCGCCACTCTTTTTGTCTACCCAAACATGGCTGAAAACACGAATGTTTGGAGGCAATGCTCTTGCGTCCCGGGGTGTGAATGCGCTGAACACTTCTTCCAATTTTTTAATTTCTAGCAATCGTGCCATGTGTCGTTCTTCCGGGGTCAGGCATGTATCCAAAAACTTTACTACGTCTGCAATTGTGTTTCCACATGCGGTTTCGTCACCTTCCACAAATTTTGCCAACAACTCATCCGATATTGCTGAAATGCTGCCCATCCCGGTTTCAACCTCCATCCCCCCTGCGCCTGGAACCTGGCTTGGTGCGGCATTACCCGCCTCATCTGGCAATTCCCCCGGCCCACTCCTAACCGAAGGATCATATGCGCTGGAAGGGCAGTGGGCGATGGATGACGCGGGGCCCTGGTTACTGTCGCGTGGTGTGGCGATGTTGAACTGTTGTGGCTCGTCCGACATCCGCGCATCTGAGAGGTTGTCTGCTTGCAGTTTTGGTTTCTAGGGCGCACGAGGCGAGCGCGTCTTCGTCTTGCACGGCTTGTTTCGCGTCCGCACTTGGGGCCGCTGTCGCGTGTGCAAATACAGGGGGCAGGACAGGTACGAACTCTACACCGGGTTTGCTTACCACTGTTAGTGACACAGCTTGGAAACTGCCAAAGCACAAAGCGATCAAAGCATGGCTACAGCACATTTTACTCAACGATGAAAACTCTTGGGCCTGAAAACGGCCAATGTCACAGGTTTGAATTGCGCATGAGAGACCACAGACATGACAGATGCTGTGCATTGACACTGCTATCAAAGTCTATGAAAATCTGTACTGGTCTCGCTGCTTCTTGAAAAGAAGAAATAACCCGCCTTTGGCCATCGCGAGCCACCATTCGGCAGACTTCAATTCTTTTTTCAAAATATCTGCTAATTGCAACTCAGTAGGCACCCAGTGGATAGGAGGACGGCAAGGGCGCTCAGGAGTGGGATCTAGATCAGGTCCATGTTCTGAGACAAACTGTTGCTTGGCTTCTCTCATGAGGATCTGTCTCAGCCCTGCCAAATCTATCGCAAGACGTTTTTCTGAAGGTGCCTTGGGGGTTCCTTCTCTGTGCAAATGGTCAAACAGGCTCTTACAATTTGTGATGCAATGGAGAGGCGCCTTTTCTCCGCCGCAAACTTCAGAAGCCATGCAACCAGAAGCAAAGGAGAGAAAGAGAGATCTGAGATAAACTGCATGTGCTACGGCCTCGCAACAAACCATGGTCTCACCAGCAAAGGAAGATCGGCATACACGCTGACTTGACTTGCTTCTCCAGTCTATCAAGCTAAAATCATGTTCTTCTCCTAAAACTCTCTTGTCACTGACGACGATCACATGTGCCAACTGGGATGCCACGGGGTGATCTCCGCTCCAGTTGGAATCGCCGATGTCAGGGTCTTCGGCGCTCACATTAGCCCAGGCTGCGTCATGAAACGCAATGAAAACTATCTGTTTCTCTGGGATCTTTTTGAGAGTCACGCCGTGATCCTTGTGGTCAAAGGCGATGTCCACCAATTTGTTGGTCTTTTTGATGTCGTCGGTGGACGGATCGGACTGCTGACGTTGAGCTTGTGAGACTGCAAACTGCAAGTCGGGGCGCGTCTGTTTTGCTAACCAAGAGAGACTGCCGATGGATGTCTGATTTTCTTCAACTTGTTCACGAGAGACGCTTCCATCAGCATTGGTCTTGGCAGTCACTTTGCCGACGCGTCCTTCAACATAAGCCTTTTGAGAGATCTTGATCTCATTGGCAGAGCAGTGGTAGGAACAACCCACGTACTCAAGACTCCCGCTCTGCCATTCGTCTATGGGAAACTTGTCCTTGATCTCTTTCTGAATAGTTGCTTCCAACCCTGGCTCGACGATCAACATCAGGTCGTCGACATGGGTCAGCAGCAGGCCGACAACAGCTTGAGAGGTTTGCTCGTAGAAGTGGAAAACGCATGGATCAATGGGGTTCTGCTTCACCAAGATCCGTCGACCGCTCACTTCAATCACCATCGCTTGCACATCCTTTGACAGCTTCATCCACCACAGCTTGGGGCTGGTGCTCAGACCGAACACGCCCTTCAGAACCTCCACCAGTTGTCCAGGCTGTAGTGAGGGAATTCCTCCACGAAGCTGTCGAAAATAAAGCTGTCTGGGAGCAGGGACACCATTGAGAAAAGCAGCCCTGATGTCGCCCACGCTGACAGACCAACCTCTAGAAAGACCAAGTTGGAGGGCCAACAAGATGCTGTGACGCGATGTCGTTGGTGCGTCCACAGCCATGTCAAAACGAAGATCTGGATCTCGATGTCCTGCTACACAAAGGCGTGCTTTTGGTTTGCAAGGGATGGATGGATCCACTTTGCGCAGAGCATAGTTCTTGTCCTTGTAGGCAAAGCGGGCATTGAGAACTCTTTCAGGAGGTATCGTTGCTTCGATCCGCCTAGACTCTTCCAAGGACAAAGCTCTGACAGCGCCAAATTCCACGTGTTCTTTCCACTGCTTGAGCTCGGCTTCTCGATACAAGTGTCTCTCTTCGTAGGGAATAAGGCCCCACGGGAGCTCTTTCTCAAGTTGTTTCTCCTTGCCCTTCTCGGAAATGCATCGCTTCACCATGAACACTTCCTTGGGAGCTTCTAGTCGGGCTTTCTTCAAAGCTGTGGGCACATCATCCAGAGCTTGCGCTCTTCGTACCGAAGCTCTGATCTGTTGTTCTCGGGAAGCGGCTTCGTCCCAAGCAAGAGGCAAAGGAGAAGAATCTGGAGGCCCCTCGTTCTCAGCTTCCATTTCTATGGGACCAGATTCTTGTTTTTCGGGGGCAGGATCTAAGAAATCCTCATCCACCTCCATCTCTTCATCAGGAAAAGGTTGCTCCATCAGGCTCTTGAGCTCTTTCATAGCGGTCTTGAGGCGCAAGAGCTCAGAGACCTCTTCATGGTGCGCAGTTCTCAGATGCTCAGGGGCGGCAAGAATACATCTGCCGCCGCGAGAAAGCCAAAAATTGTTGCCTTCCCGACCAATCACAATGCCAGGTCCAAGCCAGGTGGATTTGGGTTTCTTTCCCTTTCCTTGCCTAACCTCGCGATAGGCGTAGACCAAATCGCCAGGCTCAAAGTTCTTCTTCTCGACTCTGGGCTTATGATTGGAAGCTCGCTGTAAGGCTTCTTTGGACTGGCAAGCAAAGAAAGCCGCACGAGCGCCAGCTCGGAGAACTTGGCTTCTCTCGAACTTGGCGTCGGGGCTGGCCAAGTCCAACATCTCGGCTTGGCTCTGGTCCATGTCAAAGAGGTCGGCGGGCTGCCGTCCGTTGCTGCCGAACACCCACTGTCGAGGTGAGTATCCGCTGCGGTTTCTGAGCTGATTTTTGGCGTCAGAGACCCATGACATGGCCTCGGGCATCTCTTCGACGAAGACCAAATTGTCTTCGACGAACTTGTTCCATATCATCGTCCAAGCTCCACCATGACGTTCGGCGACGCCGTTCTGCTAGTGTGCCTGGCCGGCTGCAGCCCTCACGACTATACTCTTGTTGTCCATGAGGGCCAGGAACTTATCCTTGAAAGCACTGTCCAGGTCGACAAGGACGAACTTGGGGGCGCCAGCCCACTGAATCCACCCAGAGGAAAAGGCCTCAGAAACGTCTTCAGACTTGGTGGACTTCAAGGGAACCACCACTTGATAGGTGGATGCCAGGTCCACCATGTTCAGTGCTGGCTTGTTCTTGGTGTCTGCAGTGTCCAGCCACACAATGTCAGCCGCAACCGCTTCGTTGAAGTCCAAGGCGACCACAGGCGCGCTCACTTTGTGAAGTGGGGCACGACCGGATCGGGCACAAGTGTTGCAGGTCATCTGCTCGGCAGCCCTCAAGATGTTCTCACCCGCACCAGCGATTCTAAGATGTTTGATGAGATCTCGGTTTGAAGGATGACCGAGATTTTGATGTACCCTCTTCAGGACGCTTGCTATCTCAGGACTCACCTTGCCCTTGAAGGAAATTGCTTTGGCACCATGAGGTTCCTCCACGTCATCCGGTTTCCTTTCGACAGCCGAAGGGGAAGAAGGCTTGTCTTCGACAGAAGAGGAAGCCTCGGCTGTCATCACACTGTGGGCATGTGAGCAAGACTTGTTGTAGGCATGGAAAACCGCCGTGGCAAAGCCCGTTGGATATGTCGCTGAGTGGGCCGTTTCAGCTCCGTGAATTGTTCGATGATCATGGTCACCGGTGCATACCTTCTGAACGTTCTCGTTGAAAGCCGCAGAGTTGGTGAGAAGGGACACCGGCTTCTTCAACAATGCTTCGCCATCTAAGCTCTTCATACCATAGCTGCAGAGGTCTGCTCGGGCAAAACTCATGCCTGAGCCAATCATGTCTCGAAGAACGTCGGTTCTCCAGAGGTCGCTGTTGGCAGGGTTCTCGATCACTACCAGACCGCCAAGCTTCCGCTGGAGGCAAACCACGGAGGCGACGAAGTGCACAAGCTCCATCTCTTTCTTTCGAAGCCTTCGCAACCGTTGTTGGTTGTAGTTGAGGTGGCTAAATCCACACCACAAGGTGCAGGGAGGAGCCATCCAAATCAGTCCAGGTTTGTGCTGACTGATCTCTTTCAATACTTGCTCCTGAGTGGATCTGTCCCTCAGGTCGTGGCCAAACTTGATGTCGCGGGGCTGCAAGACGCCGCGGCCCCTCTTGGCAAAGCCCTCAGAGATGCGGGCCCTACCAGCAAAAAGTTCCAGGCAATCGACTTCGCGCTGCCCATCGCCCTTGCAGTATGCCATGAAGGGCTTGAAGACCTCAAAAGTGTCCTCCAAAGGACCAGTCACAATTTCCTGGGTGAGGCTTGCAGCCGCCACAGTGCAAGCCATGAGGACTGAGGCCAAATTGACCATCCCACGCTTGATCTTCTTGAAGTTGGACTCATTCATCCGCTTGCGACGACGGATACCGCGTCGTGCTCTTTCCCGGAGCTCTTCAGGTGTTCCCAAAGCCTTGGGATTCATAGTCTTTGAGTAATAGATCTTGTCCGGGACAAAGGGCTCTTCATTCAAAAGGTCCCCAGCATCAGACGCGCTGCCGCTAACGAGTTCGTACTCATACGCAGGCACCTTGATGGAGTCATCCAGACCCTTATACTTGGAAACCTGCGCATCCACTTGAACTGCCGCATACTTTGGGACCTTGACATTCTCAGGGACCCCAAAGGACTCAAAAGCATCCTTGAATTCAACAACCGCCTCATACGCAGACTTGTCTGGGCCCTCCGCACCCAGGTCATCTGTGGTGTCGTAGAAGATGTCAGGGACATTCAAGATTCCGTCTCGTCCCCGTCCACTATCATAACAGATTCCCTCTTCTTCTGACGGGCCTGGAGCATTTCCAGACGGCTCTGCAAAAGGTTGATCTCCTCTTCCTCCGACATCTGTCGACGGACTGGGGTCCCCTTGGAGCGAGTCGTGCTCACCTGAGACCAAGAGGCATCGCTCCCCGAAGGCCTGTCGAACATGTCCTTGACCGAGGGCGGAGGAATCTTGGCCAACGCCTCGGGGTCCGTTGCAAGGGACCTGGTCTTGCTGAGGACTGTCTTGCCCTTGGTCTTCTCGCTCTTTGCCCAAGATGCCAGACGTTGAAGGTCCATGGACGAGTTGGGGTTGCCCTCCACCTCCGCCATGGCCCATTCGAGATACGGAGCCGGTATCTCGCGGTACATCCAGCCCTTGAACTTGCCGAACGGGACCACTGTGTCCGCCGGAGTGTTGCTCGCATCTCTGATAGCCCTCATGAGCCATCCCCTGGTCGGCTTGTCCGGCATGGTAATCCCCTGGGCCGTGGCTTTCTTGACCAACTCGTCGAGGGAGCACTTGGACAGACCCTGGAGAGCTTCGCTGGTCTCCACCTTGGGCTTCTCCTGTTGACGGATCTCCACCACCATCTGTCGAAGCTCGGGAACCAGCCAAGAAGGGTGAAAAGGTACCCCCCGGCGATTCAGTTCCTCCACGAGCTGAGACTTGTTCATTTTCCAAGGCGACAGGAGCTGCGGCATCGAAGTCTTTGGGCTGCGGCATGCCTCGGACATGGGGTCCAACAGTGGACGGCTTGGTCGGGCGGTCGCCAGTCTTGAGCTTCGAAAAGCGGCTCCGACCAACCCACTGTTGTGCAGCCCACGGAAAAAACTTGCTTGACATCTCATCACTGTGGACATGCTTCAAAGTTCCTTCTCCTAGACAAACAACTGCTTCAGTGATTCTCCTACCATCCAACATGTTGAGAAGAGCAGAGCGGAAAGAGGAGTCTGATGTTTTCCAGGCTGAAGGATCAAAAGGAAACTGCCGAGGGACAACGTGCACTCTGATCATTTCGTCTTTCGTTTCGATCCAAAAATCATTGCTTTGTTTTGCGTTTCTCCACCATGTGAAAAATGAAACTCCACTCAAACCATTGCAATCACTGAGCATGTTGTGAACTTCAAGGGGGATCTTCTTGGGGTAGAAAAGTAGATTACCCTTTGAGATAGACAAACTTGATAATGTTGAAGGAGAAGAAGTGATAGTTGAAGATGCCCCAGATACTGAAACGCATGCTGATGCAGCCGCAACATCCGCACTCATGTAAACCTCACAAGCGGCCACCCAGATCTCATCGTTCGGAGAGCCCTCAAAAACAGGAGGAGGCTCTTCGGGAAAGCGAGACACAGCCAGAGCCGGATGGCCCGTTTCGCTATTCTGTACCTTCAAATCAGTGATTCCTAAAGCAGGAAGAGACACTGTTCCGGAAGCAAGGTCATACTTCATACCAAGCTTGGTCAAAACCGGTTTGCTAAAAAGCAAAGGAACATCACAAGGGACTATGGCTACTTTCACAGCAAGCCACTGTCCGCAAATGGCAAACCACCCTCTCACTGCAAACTGTGACACGAACACCTTGGAAGCTCCGAACTTGAAGCTGTCCTTCTCTTCGAGGATCTGGAAAGGAATCTCCAGCGCATCTGCTGTCTTGTAGAACTTCTCAAACCAAGGATAGCTTGCCACCGACTTGGTGCAGGCCGTGTCAACTATGGCGAGAAACTCATCACCTCGACCATGTTCAAGCTCTCCAGCAGTCGTCGCAAAGCAGGTGTTCACCACAGCATGGCATTCATGAAGACGGCTAGAGGTGAAGTGCACCTGCTTCTCATCCGGGGCAGAGGCATTCTTTGCACCTTGTCGCAGGGGGCAGATCTCATCCTTGTGCCAGTGTCCTCTGCGCTTGCACGCCGAGCAGTAGCTGCGAGCCTTAGCTAGGCGCAGCCGTTCCTCAGCACGCTGCTTAAAGGCATCGGAGTCGAGGCCACGGCCCTTCACAGTCTCCTTGCAGCGAGCTTTGGCTCCTTGATAGGCCATGTAGGCCGAGTGATGTTCTTGGGCGACTTGCTCGTCGACCAACTCTATGTTCTCATCGTCATTGGGCTCATTCTCTTCATCACTGGTGCCGCCATCATCCTGCACGGCGGTCATGTGCACCGATTGCTTCCAGCGGCTGCCTTTCCACCCCTTGTCGTTGGGGGCACTGTTGCTCCCACCAAAACCATGCCGAAGGGTTCGGTCCTGAATCATCGCCGCTTGCTGCAAACGGCGGCAATCATATTCGTTGTTGCAGCTCGCCAACAAAGCAAGCTCTTCTGCCTCGCTCAGCCGGAGCTTGTCCACGTAGAGCCAGGCTTTCACCAAGGGGGGCAACTCGCATCTGACCTCATGCAGACGCAGCACCATTCTCTCAAAGTCTACGTTGAACTCACGGACTGATTGTTCTGGACGTTTCTTGCATCTCCTGAACAAGTCATTCATCATTTGAGAAATCTTCGACACCTCAACTTCCATGAATCTAGTCTGGATCCACTCCAGAAAGTAGTCAACCCCGCTAGGGGAGCCGAGGATGTCCATGTCAAGCTCCTCGGCGTACACCCAGGCCCTGTCAGAGAGGTTGCTATAAAGAGCAAGCGCCCTCTGGCTGGGCGGCAAACGAGTGCACCGCAACCAAACTTGCACTTTTCTCACATACGATCTGGCCGATTTTCCGACCTCAGAGTCGTTGGCACCATCCCCACCGAACTCAGGAACAGAGATCTTTTCGGTGGGCTTCAAGTCGCGCCCTCCGTCCATCTCATGCATCAGCCACTCCCGGTCGCGCCTGGCCTCATCGTAGGATCCAGCCCACTTGCCGTTGTTCATGGCCGTGGTGTGTCGTACCTGAGCCACATTGAAGTTGCGCAACTCCCCATCGGACAACCACCCGTTGCTATTGCGTCGGCTCCAAGATGAATCATATCCCGAACCAGATTCATTTTTAGGGGGCCTATAAACACCAAAAGAACCAGGAAGATGCCCTTCACGTCTACGGGGAGGATGCCCTTCAAATTCTCTATGACGTAGGATCCATTCAGTCCAGGGGTCAGGAGGCATGGGGTCTTCAGCACTATTGGAGTTCTCTTCTTCAGGCATGCTAGGTCTAGTGGTAGCAGGATCTGAGCTTTCATGACCCTCTCCCCCACCAGCAGGCTCGCCCGGATCATCAGTCCTTGCCGCAGTCTGCCATGCCCTGCGGCTAGCAGCCATCCCGTAGATCTCACCAGCTGCTCCGCGCCACCAATGTTAGTGACACAGCTTGGAAACTGCCAAAGCACAAAGCGATCAAAGCATGGCTACAGCACATTTTACTCAACGATGAAAACTCTTGGGCCTGAAAGCGGCTAATGTCACAGGTTTGAATTGCGCATGAGAGACCACAGACATGACAGATGCTGTGCATTGACAACCACTATCGCTGGCTGTACTTTGGAGCTACCGTCCTTAGTGTCCCATGGTAAACCCGCAACAGACTCCAAAGAATGAAGGCTGTGTCGGCTGGACTCTGGCAACCGACGCGCTGTCCGGAAGGTTTGTGCCCCAACAGGTGTCAAGACAATATGCTCATCCGATCCCTCAGTTTTGCCGACGAAGACACCATGCACCCACCGTGGCACACCCTTAGCTAAATCCTTCATGTTTGGCCACTTGGCCAACACACACTCACCGAACGCAAGCAATTCACCAAAAAAATCATGTCCCTTGATGATCAAAAATGGCGTGGTCCTACTCGTGTTGACGTGCAGCCGCGCCATTGCCCATGCAACATGTCGCACAATCCATGGAAACAAACAATGTGTGTTGCGTATGTCCACCTGGTACTGCTCAGACAAAACACTCACCCATGTCCGATCTCTACCTGCAATTTGTTGGTTCACGGTTTCTCCTTCAGCGAGGGACTGAGAAGAGTACCTGGGACTTTGTCGCACCTGCATTTTGTCATGTCCCATCTTCTTACGTACCGTGTTTGCAAGTTTCATGATTTCTGGTTCCTGATCTGTCTGAAAAGTGAACTGTTTCCAACCAAGGCCTAACAACCAAGTTTCCAAGGATTTCACTGCATAACTGTTGGGGTCGTCAATTTTTTTTGAAGGAATCACAACTGCGAAAGGCCAACGCGAGTCCTTGTCAATGGCGGTAAGAACTGTCACCACATCACCCCCGTCTGCCCCCTCTGGCAAGTCGCCAGGCTGAACCTCTGCGCCTTTGGAAGGAAAATACATGAAATCTGCATACACGATGTGTTCCGGTGTGTCCGTGTGGCGTTGCATGTGGGGAGCTTGCCTACCCTGTCCAGCAACACAGTGTGGACACCAGGACGCATACGTAGCATGATGCAAATTGTGTTCTGCCCGCTCTTGCGGGGATGGTTCCGGTGGAGATGACATAGGATGAATGATGGGTCTGTCAGCGGTTTCTTCCATGAAGTGCGCATGCTCCATGCCATGTTGGACATGTGGGTCGGGCGCTTCAGGTTCTGCCTGCGCGCTTGCTGCATCATCTTTCAATTTGAAACATGTTTCACCTACCCAATGCCATGCCAACCGCCTGTTTGCGTTTGATTCCGTGTCCCAAAAGTTTTCTAGAACGTCTTCACCGCCACCGCCAACGAATGTCATGCGTGTCAACCTGCCGTTTTCCAGCACTGAAGGATCGACAGGACAATCATTGGAATCCAAAGGGCTAAACAAATTTTGCCGGGGATTTGAATGCACTCGAACTAACAACGAACCGTCTCTTCGCCAACTGTCCTCGGAACTGGCTGCAATTCTGCTGTCTGCACCTTGGCTCCTCAATGCTTGCAAGTCACGTTTCCTGACACGCATCCACCATCTTTTCCCAAATTTTGTCAAAGGATACTTCTCCCATTCTTGTACTCCAGATAGCTACCGGCTTTGCCAAAGACTACCTTTTCCCAATCTTTACTCAACAGTTCATCTACAGCTAACACGTTCTCGCTAGCATCCGTCACTGTCACACGAATGGTTCCGCGCAATCCGTCATCAAGTTCGATGCCGGGGGTTTGTTCACCATACACCTTCAAAGCTAGTCCTTGAACTGAATACAATGTTTTCTTTTTGGTTTCATCAATTGGCACATCAAATTCTCCCTCAGTAGCACATGTCACACATGCACCCGAATCGACCATGAACCATGCAAAATCACTGTTTTCACAAGGTTTGATGGCTGCGATCGTGTCATGGACAGTCATGATCATGTCAGTTTCGGGTTCGGCCACATAATCCCTAACGGATCCTACTGTCAATGCGTCAGTTTCGGGTTTGGGGTTCGGTTCTGGTTCCTCCCGCACTTCATCAGCTGCAATGTGACCATATTTCTTACACATGTGACACTGTTTGCCCGCATGAGGGTTGTTCCTCCTTTTCCTTTGCCTTTTTCCCCTTTGTTGTTCCTTTGCCGCTGCCATCTTCTGATGGTTTGCCCTTGTGTTTGCCTTTGTCGCCTTTGTAACTTCCATACTTGGAATCCCATTGTGACGACGCTTGCGCTTGCCATTGCGAGTTCAATTGGTTGCCTTTGCCTTTGCCTGGGTCACCTTTGTCTGCTTTGCCTTTACCTTTGCCTTTGGGACCTTTACCTTTACCCTTTATGGCTCCAATTTCCATAGGCGCTGGTCCATTTGCATCATCCTTCGGTTTGACGCTTGCGCTGCTTCCGAACAGTCCTCCTTGGGGTCTCTTCCACAGATTTCGCGCACTCAAATACTGTTCTATGTATGTTCGAACCTTGTTGTACGAATCCAACGAATCTGCATGCATGAAAATTGACTGTTGAAGTTCTTTCGGGGCAACATGAACCAAAACAGACAACTTTTCGTCTTCGTCAATAGTCTTTTTGAATTGTCGCGCAAACTCCCGGATTTCCGATTCCCATTGGTAAAACGCATCACTCCATTTACTCAATTCAGTGGGGAAGGTTGGGTTTGTCAAGTGCTTCCGCCATACCCATGATTTGGATTTGTATGCTGGTTCATGTGTTTTCACCAATCTCCGCCACATTTCCAAACCATTCCCCTCAGGCCCCTCAGGGGCATGTTGGGCCATGCTCATCACTGAGTCCGGCGCATATCCCATAAGGATCGTCAACAAAGCCTTACTCAAACGGACCTCATTTGCTGTCAACGTGGCATGTTCTATGGGCGTCGTTGAGGCTTCGGCCTTGTCAAACAAACCTGGGTAAGCCGCATTGACTGTAGAACTCCAAGCTACAAACACGTACTTCCATCTCTCCCAACTTTCACGCTTCCCATCAAACACAGGTGGTTTCGGAATGTTCCTGGAATCCACAAGGTTTGGGTCCTCAACACTGGCACTGCTTGCTTTTGTGGTTAGGGCCGCGCTCAACTCGTTGCGGGTGGCTGTCAACACTGCGCTTTGTTGTTCGTACGCTTGTTCGGCTCTTTGTAGTGCTTGACTTAGGGTATCTTGCTGTCTACTCAACTGTGCAACTTGGTTTTGCAGAGCTTGCATCATCTCCTCCATTGTGTCCACAAACGAAACAAGGAACAAACAGAATCACACAAGAACAACCGGTGACTTGCAGTTTTTTGTACAATCGAAAACCTAACACACTACGACGGACCTGCACACTACGACGGACCTGTACACGTGAATGTCGGCACTCACGCGGTGTTACCCGCCTTGTATAGGTTTTCTCCCTCACTTCTTGCTTCTCTGGCGTCTGGTCGTGTCGTGCTGGTACCACGTTGGCGTTGCAACTTCGGAGTTGTAGCCGACAGTTGGTGGCTCAGTATCTACACGAGTTGTGAGGCTGCTTGTCGAACTTTGGGTGGAGCTATACCGTGTCGTCGGCGCACGGGAAGAACTGTACCTTGTTGCTGCTGCGCGGCTTTTCTGATCACACTGTGTCACTGCACCAGGCTGGTGTCTCCTGGAACTTGTGTCGGTGTCTGGCTCAAGCCCCTCAGTCTCACTATGACTGTCACTCTCCTCCTTCCGCTGTTGACCTAGGGTTGCAGTAACTGCTCGGCGTGCTTCCTCACACAAGTAACTCTTCCTTGCAGACTCTCCTGGTGTTTTTTCTACCTCAGCTGCTACCAACGGAAGTTCTCTTTGAAACTTTGCCCACACACGACGGTACACACTGTTGTCACCTTCTTCACGGGGTGGCTCCAGAGGACGCTTCAGGCGTGCGTGAGGTGCAAGGAAAGTTGCGTAGGTAGAGTGGCCGCTTGTTGAACACGAAGCTTCGCTTTGTGCCTGGTAGTATTGTGACGCTCTTGCTGGGTTTGGGTTGCTTCCAAAAAAAAGGGACTTCTTGCTCGGCTTTGGTGTCCTCTGTTTTCAAGTTGTGCTCAAAGCGTTTCGCAATACCCTTGAGCGTTCTCCTCTCTACAGCTGCTGCACTCCTGTTCCTCCTTCCTTTTTGCGGTGTTTTGCCGGCAGCTCCTTTCACGCTGCTCGACGCCTGCAGTAGCTGGTGGCCCTAGAGCACGACCAGCTCCGCTACCATGCGAAGCGGAGTTACACCTTTTTAGTTTGAACCACAGGGGCTGTGCGTATTGGGCTCTTCACTGTACAACCAAACACAAATCAGTGTTCCAACCTCGACACTTAGGATCAGAGGTATAGTGAAGGGATATTCTTTCACTTACCATCATCATCATCATCATCACTCGACTTGAAATTCGGATTTTTCGACATCCATTTTCCAAATACCCAACGGTGCGATGAAAGTGACAGGTTCGAGCATCCATAGGTACCGCAAAAAGAGACATTGGAGTTTGTGCTAACACTGACCGTGTTTTTATTTCCCCGCACGATGCGTTTGTCTGACAATGTATACCTCCAAAAGGCTATTTAAATGGACTAAGTGATGAGCAACCATGGACATCGTGGGGTGCTCTCTTTTCGGATCCAAATATCTCCGCTGCTCTGAATGTCCAGTTCAATGCCCCCCTTCCCAAGGGAACTCTCGTCACATGCCTTGTGCGTCTCTTCACGCAGCAGCCCTTTCGCAGTGTCTCATCATCAGCATCATCATCATCATCATCCTCATCATCATCATCATCATTCGACCTGCAATTCGGATTTTTCGACATCCATTTGCTACGTACCCAACGGTACGATGAAAGTGCCAGGTTCGAGCATCCATAGGTACCGCAAAAGCGATTTGGGGTTTGTGCTAACACTGACCGTTTTTTTTTCCCCGCACGATGCGTGTGCCAGACAATATACCTCCAAATGGCTCTTTAAATAGACTAAGTGATGATCAACCATGGCAATCGTGGGGTGCCCTCTTCTCGGCTCCAGATATTTTCGTTCAGCTATGAATGTCCAGTTTCATGCCCGTCCACGGTTCATGAGCCACCCCAGCTGGAGTCACATCGCAACGACACTCAGAGTTATAACGTCGGTTGGACAGAAAATTTCCCTTCGTTCTGTCATGTTCTGTCAAAGCGGTGATTATTTGCTAGCGCATGACGTCCATATTGACAAGCCTAAGGTTTGGTGTCAGCAGAAAAGGGCCCGGTCGCATGTCGGCTTTCGCACTGAGTGATCCCCCGCGTCCCCTTTGACACACCTACCTTTCGTGTCGTCACCCCCGCTCAAGTAATGTCAAACGACGTGAGTGGGCAAGGGTGAAACCAAAAAGTCTCAAAAAATCAAACCAGGCAAAAAGGCAAAACGACCGAAATAGCGGGCGTTGTGAAAGATAGGGTGACATGTTGACGTGCTATCGTCCTAAATGCTGCCAACAATGATGTGTATTGGACCCATTGGGAGGGAAATTGGCCCCAGATCTGTGCAGGTAGCTTAACGAACCAAAAACGAACCAGTCGGACAAGTCAAGGCAGACAGGATGTTCGTTCACACCCGCATCGAACATTTCAATATTTTCACTGGCTTTGGTGTTTCTAAAAACTCGTTGCCAAGAGTTGTGGAAATGGTGGGACCGAAGCAACGCAAATTTCATCTGCATTGGGCTGGGGAATTCATCACACAAATGCGGTGAACAACGCCGATCAAAGCAGCAAACGCTGCGGGTCGCAACCCATATTTTTTGAAGAAGGGACCATGCAGATTGGTGGTGGTTACCCTGGCCGGGGAGAAGGATTGACGAAACTGCGACATGTAGCCTGTTGGCACAACATGTTTTCCAAGCCACAACCCAGGCGTACATTGCCTGGTGGTGAGTATTTTCCACCAAGGCAGCGCCCTATTTCCATCGCAGCATAACAAAATGCAGACATGGAGGCGGGGATTTTTTGGAGATGGCGCACAATAAGTTCATCAGTGGAGATGGCCGTGGATTTTTATTGAGCTATAAGGTGACCGTCCAAATTGGACAGGCAGCAAGATCCGCCTGTCCAAGCTGAGCGAACATACAATCAACTCATCAATTTTGGAACGATGTTCGTATAATATTTTCCACCGAGAACCAGTGCATGGAGACTTCCCCTTGCCACGGAGACGACCCCAGCGGTCGGCTTTCGGGATCGAAGGGGGCCAAACAATATTATAGTGCAATTGTTGTGGCCGAGGTAACATTACTTTCGGATTTTCCAGGCGGAACTGACAAAAACTGGTGATCAGAGCATGGTTGGACTTGCCTTCATTAAAAAAACAAACATGGTGACCAGAGCGTGGCTGGACTTGAGCCTGTCCAATTAGTGATGTCAAAAAGAGGTGATCAAATGGAGGTAAAAAATTTGAGGCTGTCATCAAATGAGCGCAGGCCAGGAGATTGGTAGGTGAAGAAATGAAGAAAAACACAGTAATCAAATTCATGAAGTAACCTTATGGTTACGCCTGACAAGGTTATTCCTACAAGTTGCGATGCTTCCCCAAAAAAGTAATTCCGGCCGTTGGATGCCAGGAGTGGTTGCCAAAGGTGGTTGCCAAAGAAAAATCACCAGAAAACACATGAAAACACGAGTCATATATCAAAGTCAAATCATGCCAAGGGTTGTTGCCGGGGGTTATTGTGTTTTTTTGGGGTGCCCGGCGCCCCGCTCAAATTTCTCCCCACACCCGTCTTGTTTTGCGCGGAGAAGGTCCTTGGTGACGATTCGTTTTGCGTTCCAAAAAACTATTGCGTGCATATATAATATCCGTTTCCGTTTCAGGGGCAGCTGGGGCATCGGTGGATTTGGGCCAGTCCTGGTGGGTGATTCGTTGCTTGTGATCTTTGGTGGGCGGACTCCGGGGAGTGGACCGAACAATGGCATCTCAACAGCAGCTTGCCGTCCCGCGCGTTGCGCCAAGGATGTGGTTCAGAGACTTCTTTGCCATTGTGGCGGGTGTTTTTGCAAAATTTTTTCCGATGCCGGCTTCATTGGTGCAGGCTAGCTTGCCCGCCCAACGCACTTGCTCGCGATATTTGAAAATTTGGAGAAATAGGCTCCTTTGGGGACAAAACGCCGGGGCGAATACCTATGCATGAAATGACGGGAACCAAGACAGCAACCAGGCAGGTGTTAGATGTTAGATATATTGCCGGCATTTGAGATGGGTATAGCAAATTCCGACAGGTTACCAGTAGTCATGCTGTCTTCGAAATTCAATAATTTCCACGCTGCCCCAACCGCACGGTCGAAACTGCTTCCAGCGAACGCAGAAGCACATTGGGGGGATTCACAAAATGCAAAGGGTGGTTCCGGGTGGTTGGTGTGTCATGGTGTATTCTCCATTTTGTTGGACGCCTGCGCGTCCTTCATTGGACCCTCCAAGTGTTCTTGGCAAAAATGTTCATGTGCGCGATACATGTGCGAGATTCTTGTACTCTAGCTTCGTATTTGTGCGTCATGTGCTATTTTTTGCCATGTTTCTAATTCCATGGTGCTTCTATGAAAAAAATGTAGTATAATTTGGCACGATTTACGGTCAAAAATTATGCCTCTGTGATAAAGCGCGCAAAAAAGGCCGTCAATTTGTTGGGCACCTGACGCCGCAATGTGCCGCAATCACTTCCCCCAAGAAGATTTGGCTATGGATTCTCAAACTGTTGGGAAATATTTCGGGAATACGTTTTGTGTTCGGACATTTCAGGGGTGCCCAGTGTGAGGAGCGGCGGTTTCAAACTGGACATTTTCCGCAACGGTTTGTAGAACCAGACGTTGCATAGCAAGGGCGAATGACGGATAACAATTATGATGGTTGTGAGTTGTGACGTTTCGTTTCGTTTGCGTTTTAGTGTTAAGGAATGATAATGGACCCGCTGTTGATTACCTTTCAGTCACGCACATACATTGCTTGTTTCAGACTCTCACGATAAACAGCAATCTGGCGGCTATGGTGTCATTGGAATGGTGGTAGGCGAAAGCCTTACCCGCTACATGATGATCATTGTCAGAAGTTCATTATATGCAGCGGGGTTGGTTGCGGCGGTGCAATTTACAATGATGCTGCCGCGCGACATGTTGTCACGTAATTTTGATACACTGGTTTGCACGCGCTTGTTTGGGCGAAGGTTGTCGGGGTTGACTGAGTTGGCATTCCGGCTGCGTGTATTGAAAATGGCGGGTTCATGTCCTTCAAACATCTTGCAGCCAAGAGTTAAAACGAAAATGCGATGCGTAGAAATGCACGTGCATTAATTCTTTCAGAGGAGTTTCGTAGGTTGAAAGCGGAAAACACTGGACTCACCTGGGAAAATTCATTTGCAAATGGTTTGTTTCCGATTTTGTGGGAATGTTCCGTGACGAAAACGGGTCTGCATCCAATGAAAATTATTTCTATTATGATCCGGGCTGACAATTGGCTGCGATGAATGTACCTTAGGGATGGCAATTTGATGCAAAATGTATGCGTTGCCATTATATGCGCAACTATGTGTACCGGCACTGGCTACTTACTGGTTCAAATTTGGTGCGTTGCAACAGTATTGACAAACATGCCCCAAATTTGGTCAGCAACCATGCCTTCAGGGTTTCAACCATGAAACGGGGATGCTAATTCCACCACGTTGGATTGGATAAAGTTGGCTTTCCGGAGTGCAAAATTCAGTTTGAACCCGAAACACATTTTAGCATTTTGATATTGTTCCGTTTTGTGTTTCACGATGGCTGGCGGCGGATGGCGCCCATTGGTGTTTTCCAATGGTTTTGGCGGATCTTTCTTGCACAGGCATTGGCCTGGGTCAGCCACTGACATGCGAGGAATGTTCGGATGCAGGGAAAAATGCATGCTCTGAGTGGAAAACGGCTGCGGGCAGTTGCAAGGTTTGCTGTAGTGCTGTCACATCTGCGAATGCCATTGCAGGTGGCCCGCTTGGTCCAGTGGTTTCGGTGGTGCCATCGGCGTTCAGAGGTGGAGGTGCCGAGTTTTTTTAAACTACATATTTTCCACCCAATTCTCTGACCTTAGATGCTTTGCCCATGACATCCTTCTGGTCGACCCCCATGGCGGCCTCAGTTTCAACACAGTGATGAGGCCTCGATGCGCCGGCGCCTCCTTGATGCATGGGTCACGGCGGAGAGGAATTCTGGGCTTCCCTGAACCAGTTTTATTAAAAAGGATTGGTATAAAAACAATATTTTTTTTTTCGAGGTTCCATTACTTATACAGTGTATCCACGCCGCGACATCAATTTGGTTTTTGGATTGCAGGTGGGTTGATTTTGCTCCCGAGGTAGGGCGTTTGGAAGGTATAGGTATCCGAATGCTGCTGCTTTGCAAAACATTTTAACATGCAGTCTGCTTCAGGAGTTGCACGACTTTCAAAATGAAATTGGTGCGGGGCAAGGAACATTTACCAGCCGAATTGACCCTTGGCTGTTGGATTGCAAAAAATGGCATTTATGCAGTGCAAGGAGAATAGTTTGTTGGGTTCGATGCATTTGTTACACATGCATCAGTTCAGGATGTTCATGCGTCAGTTGGCAGGGTCTTTTGAATTTTGAACCTTGAGGATCGTCACTTCCTCTCATGTTGACACGTGCAACCTGCAGAAACTGATCGGGTCCAAACTCCGGAAGGACGCTGACTGCATCTACTATCTGTGGCATATCGTGTGCGTCTTATGCAGCGACATTTTTTTTGTATTGCCAAGTTGAAGGCTGAAACCATCGTAGAGAGGCGGCTTTGTGTTTGCCCCGCTACAATCCGAAAATTCCAGTCCTGAATGCTGCAAGCCAACGTACCAAATGGGATCACCATCACATGGTAAACATTGTGCAGACATTCCTCATATTCGAAGTGCAGAAATTGAGTGGTCAAGTGTGCGATAGTTTGGAGATGAAAAGAGCAACCAATCACTCAAGAATAGCAATCCCTTCACCACCTGGCTGGGGTTGTGCATTACTGAGTCGGCGTTCTACTCTTGGATTTTCATCCCAGCTGGCAAGTGGTTCATCCCTGATCACAACCTTGGTTATATTTATATAGAACATGTTGGAACTTGTCTATTTTCAGGAGCACTGCTTTGGGAAAGGGTAGAAAGGGTATATGGTGTTCAAAAATCAGGGCGCGGCAGGGTGGGATGGCATGATGGGTACGGCAGAGGTACTACGGTGGGCAGGCCACCGCGGGCCTGCGCAGGGCCCGCCGGGGGTATGGGCTTGGTTTAGGGGGCTCGCGACGGCCCGTCAGCCCGCAGAGCGTACGGAGCCCGCGGTGGATGCTGTGACATCCATTGCCGTGATATCTACTACAGTGACATCCATTGCTGAGACATCCACTGCAGTGACATCGATCCACTGCAGTGACATCCAAAGATCCGTAACGCGGAAGTATAGACTTCTAATCTTCCTTTGATGATTAAAGAGAAGAACTCATAGGAACGGATCGTTGTTCCGAGCTGTTCATTGGCCGATCTCACTCCAAGGCCCGGACAATGGAACCCGTGTTTCGGCCTGCGACCCCGCGCTAGCCCGCGCTAGATTTAGCCCGGACAATGGGCACGGAAAGGGATGAACGCCCAGAAGGGTTGCCGCCAGCTAACTGCACCTTGCCGTACCCTTTTGAACGCCCCGCCGGACCCTCCCCAGAGCATTGCTCTCGAAACTGGGCAAGTTGCAGCATATAGGTTGATGTATGGGATATTCCCGTCTACACACCGGTTATCATCCAGTTACTAGCCGGCACGCATGATTCAAGTTCGGCAGCCAGGAACACTACTTCAACGGCGGTGTCGCGCGCAGTCGTTTTGTGTTGTGCGATGTCACTTCGGACAACCGGCTCGTGGCGGTCTTCGGCCTCTTCGGGCATTTTTCCGAAGGCGTGGGAATGGGAAAGGCACCTAAAGCTGCCAACATGCGGTATGCGTCGAGAATTGTCTTAAAATTATTTAAGGAAAGTCATGAGAAGGTAGTGGACGTAGGCGGAAAAAATATTTTGACATGGGCTTGGGGACACATTTAAATTTCCTTGAGGCTTGAAATTCAACAAATGTGTTGTGCAACTTGAGCTGTGGATTTACGATATTTAATTTAAGAAGTCAAATGCTTTTCATATCTTTTAAATTTTCATTCTTGAATCTCACAATGTCTCACAACTCCCAGAAACAATTCCGTGATCACCCCATCCAATCCCATCCAACCACATGTTTCTTCAAAGCTGCGTAGCTCATGATCACCGAACATCACCGAACCATTGGGTTCGTAAATTCGTGGGATGAGCTGATTAGCCACGTCCATTTCCTGTACCTCTTCAGGTGCACCCTTCATGCAGATTGCAGGTGGTGCTTTTCCTGAGATGGTGGGGGCACCCAGACATCGGCAAGTTGAGGGGCTCGATGGAACACCCTCCTTGGGGTTATACCTTTGGGAGCTCCAAACCATGAATAAACAAAAACTGTGGACCTGGCTGGTGAGATTGCTCGGATATAACAATATATAACATAGCACTCAAATTCAAACAAATCTGGCTGGCTGGAGTGGCTTGAAATTTGAGCGCTGCAAATCGCCAAAAACCAGTGGTGGTCACTTCTCACCTTTCGCAAAATTTCAGGAAAGCTGCGAAGATTGGATCGTGGTCTCCACCGAGACAGTGCTGACCAGCGTTCCCGACGAGGTGGAAGAGGACCTGAGGGCATCAACGGATGGGTTTCAGAGTGCATGAACCCTGCGGTAGTGCCTATAAATCCCAGCAGGTCTGTGGCCTTACCATGCAACAATTCAATTCAAAATCAGCCGGATGATGCTACAAGAAAACACTGTTCAAATTAATCAACCAAACCAAAACCATCAATCTACAATTGGCATGCCAGTGGGTTCAAACATTTTCCTCTGTGAGTTGACTCTTTATGCCATGCCGAGGAGGCTGCGCGCATTGCCGCGGTGAAAGCTGCCGAGCACAGCGGAGCTGGGCCCTTTGGGTGGCCGCGCGACGGGAACGAGCGCGTCTTCGTGCTCGCGAAGAGGTGAGGGAGGTGGTGGGTGTGAAGGGGGAAGGAGAATATCAAACAGGAACGAACCACCATCAATGATGATTTCTGGATTCTGGAAAATATCATACGTAAAGTACCCAAGACATGGGAACAAAATCAAGACTTGAAAATTAAGAGTGTTGTGCAGTTAACAGCTAGTGAAGTGTTTATCCAGCAACTGCGAAAACACCGCGAAAACACCCTGTTCACTGTTCACCACTTTTCTGATTTTTGGAACATTCCAAAACAGCCTCTGCCGGCAGGACTGGGACATCCACCAGCGATCCCAGCGAACTTCGTGTGAATTTGTACAGAACCTCGTTTTGAATACAGCCAACTTTTTTGGTTTTTGAAGTGGATTCGCAAGTCTGGGAGTCGAAGCAGTCGAAACGCAGAACGGTGCGATGCGCCCCAGGATTGCACGTGTTTCCAACCACCTGTTGAGTTTCTAACTTGTCTCGTCTGAGGAGATAGCTTCGCAGCGTCCACTCGGGCACCTCGGTCTTTCATTCGGCCATCAAGGATGGTCAGCCCATGGGCCCCAAAATCAGATTGCTTACATTGGCTGATCATTGGCTTACTGATATACCACTACTGCTACTACCGCTACTGCTGCTTCTACTGCTGGTCTACTACTGCTACTACTGCTGCTATTTTTACTACTGCTACTAGAAGTGGCACTGTAATCATTGCCTTCCGTTTGAGGGCTCTCCGTGAACCGTGCCCTCCCTACTCCATTGTGAATTGATATTTTGGCACTTTCAATGCCCTGATGATCGGTGTTTGTGCATGGGGGCAAGTGCTGCCATTTGCATCTAATTTGGACGATTCGGATCCCCATTACAGTAGGGAGACAAGCATCCATGGACCTCCAAATATCCACTGCTTGTATCTCATATGACCCTTGTCAAATCCAGATGATAGCCAAGCTTTGGATAGATTTGGATCCCATCTGAAGCTCCAGTAGTGCCGTTGCCAAGGAAATCTCGGTGGATCCGGCCACCAAGATGCAGGATGGAGGGGCACCAGACATGATTTGGGGATGGGTCACGTTTGGGAAACGAATTGCACATCATATGGTTCCCGCTAAACTCATGGCAATGATCATCTTTACAATGGTCCAACTCCAGTTATATTCTAATGGCCTTTCGCACCATTCCTCCAATCACTTCCCTATCATTCTACATCATTTTCCCATGGTTTCCATCAATTCATAAAGATTTCCCACAATTTTGCCATAGTTGGAACAGTTTAGAATTTTCTCAGTCTTTTCCCATGATTTTCTATCATTTTACCATGGGTTTCGTCAAGTTTCTGGTTTTCCCGTGGGTTTCCCGTGGGATTTTCCCATTTCGTCATCCTCCAAGGCCTGGAGCTGCGCCATTTGCCTTGGAGCCGATGCTGGAGCTGTGCGGCAGCTGCCCTGCGGCCACGCCTTCCATGGCGCCTGCATTAAGGCGCTCAGCTGTGGAACTCCGTGGGATATAGGGTATACCATGGTATACCGATGTATACTGTATCCTCATTTATAGCCAGCTATGGGAAAATGATGGTATCATCCAAAAGATTTAGAAGTCTATTTTCAGACAAACCCCTTTCTGAACGGGAAGAATTTGGATGCCGGGTGGATCCCGGGTGGATCCCGCAAGACCTAGGCCTGGCTACGACGTGGACAGCGATGCCCTTTAGGCCGCTGCCAAGTGCCCAAGGCCGGTTTCCCGGTTTCCCGCACCATCAAAATCAATAGCTGGTGAAGCTGGGTTAGACACATGGAATGTTCATCCAACAAAAGCTGTGAAGGAAATTTCCATCAAAAATGGAGCAGAAAGATCTACGAAGAAAGCAATGTTCTTCTTTCAGGGTTCTCTTCCTTTGGAAAACAATGAATGTAGGTCTAGGATAGTGAGAACCCTGTGTGACCTGATCTCTAGGAGCATTGCTTTCATGACCGTTTGGCAAACCAAGATATGATAGCCAATCGGAAATCCCTCTTTACAATTTACAGATTTGATTTGCCAATCTTGATTCGGAATTGCCAGCAAACATCCCAGCATTGCTTAAGGAGGCAAGATTTTCATCGGGGTTTGCCCTGCCCCAGGAGGTGCTCGCGGCCTTGAGAAGGCTCATGGATTTCAGCTCCTTGGCGTGGGCACATAGAGATAGATAGCTACGGCTAGATGTACGTGTATATTTGACGCATCATAAACAAATACACACAGATACATCATATATACATCATATATACACATGCATACGTATGGACAAAGTCGTGGGACGTTCCAGCAAAAGTCGTCGGGGAAAAAAACCATGTCTGGTCCAAGGTTTACCCGAAACGGGTGCTTGGCCCACCTTGCCACAAGACGTGGTGAAGCAGGAGCCAATCCTCAGAACTACCAGATATTTCGGTAGCTACAGGGTCCCAGGGGTTCGTTTGATCCATAGCCACATTTGTTGGTACTGGATGGTACTGGCTCTTTTATATGAGTTGCTGGTGTTGCTGCATTTAGCTTTTGGCAGTCCTACTGGTCCTACTCTAAGATTTTCTGGCTGCAGTCAATCGTCGTCGATTTTGTCTTCGTGTGCCCCTGGGATCCTGCCAATATCCTCCAATGATCTCTGCTAACCGTGAAAACATGTTGCATATCAAAACCCATGCGTTGGTATTTCCTTCACCTCAAGACTAACACCCCTACAAACAGATCATGTTCCACATGGGAGGAGTTTTATCTGGATAAGCCTTGATCTTGCCACAAAAGGGCAGTTTCGCGGTGAATCTATACATTTCGGTTGCCCATTCTTGGGATATTTTCATATTAGTCGGAAAGTGTGGAATCAGCCTAATATAAGGTATTGCATCGTGTTGCCAGTGGCTGGGCAATATAAATAGGTAACCACTATGATTCAACATCTCAATGGATTGGCTTAAGGGAAAATCTACAGGAAACCATCGATTTTCCCATGAAACATGGGGGTTTCCGGTAATTTTTGCCTTAAACCAATCCATCGATAGTATTCAAACACCCATGGTGACTTGGGGTAGCCCCATTTTCAGGAAACCTCCTTAGTCCATTGAACATCTCCAATACTTTCCATCCAACTACCATAACAACCTCGCAGGACCTGCCATTCCCTGCCGGAGCACGGCGGCCGGGGCGATTGCCGCATTTGAGGCACACCCAAGGCGCCGGAATGGCGGTTGGTGCATCCGTTTTTAGCCCATAAGAATCACCCAGATGGATCCAGATGGTTGGTGAATGGGATGGTTGATGGTTCATTATTGGGTACGACTGGCTTTGCCACATGATGTTTTCCTGCCATTTTCTTTTACCATAGGTTTTTTGCTGTCCATCGAGGCTGGCAAAGGTTCAGGGCCAACGACTTCAATGCACAGATCTTGGCCGGGCGCCTGGATGCTGACATGACGTGCTTGGATAGTAAGGATTTTTAAGGATAGTAATGATGCCAATAAGAATGAAAGTCATGATAATTACAAGCAAATACGCAGCGATGTAATATGACAAGTTGTTCAGAACGACACGAATTATCTTAATAATAAAAGTAACGCTAACAAAATACTAATGATCCGGACCATCATAAGGAAAACCTTTGAATTCACGACTTTCGAAGAATTCTTCAAACGTTCTTTAAACGTTCTTTACATGGCGAACCTCACCGATGTGAACCCCCCGTTGTGCGATGAAACCCACGTCTCAAGGTCCAGCGCCTTTGTTGAAACTCCCCAGGCGCTGCGCGATGCTGTGTTTTGGACTCCAAATGGATCTTAAAATGGGGGTATGTAAAGGGTATGTAACGGGTATGTATGCCTATAAAATGGTCACATTAATAGGGATGATGGGACAATGATGATGAAACATTGGAAGTTGGGGGTGCTATATTGTCAGACACACCCAAATCAGTCAGACCCTTTATGGTCGATGGTGTTTGGATGTGAGCATCGGTTCCACTCAATTGCTTGAGATTAATTTGGCAGACTTGTCCAGTGCCCAGCAAATCCTGTGATGAATCCTTTCTTTGTGCACTACATAATATCCATGACTTTGCCCTTGATCTTTTTATCCGCTTGCAGCCCATTCAAGTCTTGTTTCGGAGCCAACGCGGCATCATCTCATGGAGGGTTTGCCTCTCTCGGAGATCCCATCGACTCCGATGTCCTGTGCTGACCCGGACCAGTACCAGTTCCCGTTTCCGGCAGAGGGGCCCAGTCAGGGCGGCATGGTCACCTCTGCCCCTGCACAGATGGGAGGCATGGCTGGTGGGCTGCAACCTGCTCAGGCCATGGGAGTTGTGTGTGGCCCTGCCAAACCTATCTATGTCGCCATGGGCTTGGAGCGTGGTGAAGATATCGCTTCGGCGGATAACTGTGGCGTCCGTTTGGAAGCGACTGCAGTCCGAGAGCTTCCTTTTGATCCTAGCACACAACATATCAGAGAGTTGGAGGTGCCAGACGGTCACTTCCATCCAGAAGTGTGGGCAACGTTGCTTCTTGGCTGATGCGTTAGTGCATTTCAGATCCTCTGAGTGGCAGCACTTGTGTTGAAAGAGCTTTCAACTATTGCATTTCCTGCGTCCAGTTGACATGTCCAAACGACTGATTTTTGCCATTGACTAAGGCAGGAAGTTCACCATGAGGCCCTGGAAAGGTGGCACAATGGTATTCGCTTCATGGTCTTCTTCGTCTTTGGCACCATTTGCCGGCACTTTGCCCTGTGCGGCGCGCAAAGCAGGACCAACACCAAAGGCTGCGGCCGAACCAATTGCCGCTGGCACCATGGAAAAAGTCGAGAAGATCTGCTGGCCTGGATTCATTATGGTCCCCAGGGGCTGCAGAACTTCTTGTTGCAACAGGCCATGCGTGCACGTCCCACCATCGTTTTGATGCCGGTGACCCTGGTGAGGATCCCATCCAATCAGGCGCAGCTGTTCCCAGATTCGGTGGAGAACAGCCAGGCGGAGGTGCAACATGCTGGCCAGCCTGAGCAGAACGAGGAGGGAACCTTGGTCGAGCCGACTCCTTCAGCCCCTGCCGATGCTGGAGATGATGGAGAGCACCAAGTGATGCCCGCGGATGGGCCCCACTAAAATTCTGTGGGAACGGCATCACTGGTTTGGAAAGATCCAAACTAGTGCAGCCTGCTTTTGCAAGACTTGGGCTGGCAACGGTTTTGTTTTCCCAAGGTTTGTTCGAATTCTGCTATCAGCCTGTTGATTCAAACTTAACGACAAAAGCTGTATGATTCCTAGCAAGTCGTTGCTCACCCTAATTCACCAACGTCCAATTTGCTGCGCGACATTTTAGATGCTGAATACACAATATTTTGAAAAGCAATGCACTCAAAAAGACATGCCAAGAACTTATTCAGCACTGCTCGCCCGGTTGGAGGGGTGCTCCTGTTTCTCGCATGTCGCTGGTCGACTGCTCGCAAATCCAATTTGCATTTCTCTGGAAACGTGATGCTTGCAATAGCTTGGTGCCGGTTTTCACTTTGTTTCCTAGCATTATTCAATCTAAGGTCAGTTTGAATCCTTGGAAGCCACTGCTTCTGCTGAAAGGGTGGAAGTAGTGGAGCGAGGGAAACTGATGTCCTCTGCGGAACAAACAGGTCGGCTTTGGGTTTGAACTGCGAGCTGACAAATGTGTGACATTGGGGCATTTTGATGCATTTTGGGTCGCAAAACTAAAGGCAGAGAAAGGCCCCTTTTCATGATCTGTGTCTTTGTTTGGAGATTTTTTGCGTTCTGGACTCACCCAGAAAGATGCTGTTTTCTTAAGGCTCCAGCGTAGTCAATGGACTGCGAACATAGCCCGGGGCATGGAAGATCCTGATCCAGAACCCTACCCACAAAGCGATGACGAGGATGGGCGCCAGCGGGTCCTGAAGGAGCTGCGAAGGCGGTTGTACCTTCATCAGCAGTTGCCATCAGCTTCCAGCATTGACGCCATGCTGGATGGGGCACTTCACATCAAGCCTATCGAGCAAAAGAAGGAAGGCGGCCGTGGAGAGCTTTCAGTCTTGGTTGGAGGGCTGTGGTGCCCAGACTGCAGGTTTTCCCCCCTGAGAACAAACTGTTCTCAGTTGGTATTCTGTTGGGGTTCTTTTTCAAAGTTAATGTGGTGGCCTCCGCTACTGCAGCCATGATCATCCGCAATTTTTGGGAGTCCAAAGCAGTTTGCCACCAGCCTCGTCTGGCGCCTGAGGCACAAGGTCTTCCCCAAGTTCTTCTGTTGCATTTTATGGGACGAGGGCCACAGCATCGAACGAAAGGTCTGTGTCTATGGCAAGAGCGCGAGACAGGGAGGAGTGCACTGCAGGGCATTTCTGACCTGCCCCCGCAAGTGCAAACACCGCGCCCATTGCCGCGAAGCCCATTTGCTCAGTTTGGCCAGGCCGGTAGACTTTCTATGGAGATATTGGTATTGGCTTAAACGCCGTCGAATTGACGGTGATGTTTTGAAATGTTGGGGATCAACTGCCTTCTGCATAGGGATTTATATACATATATCATGAGCTGGACCAGATGATTTACAGTAAATCAATATTCAGCAGCCATCACTTGCAGAATTTCTACCAGTGTTTTTCCCACTGTGATGGTGGCCCTATATTGCTAGATTTGTTGGGGATGGTGTATGATTATCAGTCTACACAGTGCCCTCTTCAGAGATGCAGCCCTCCCTCCGTGGCAGGGAGTTCCTTCAAACCACCTACAGCCTGCCGGCTGAGACTTCCCTGCCGAAGCCCGTGGGTCTCCAAGTGCTGGCAGATGAGATGCCAGAGGTGAATGCACCGGTCCACAGATGGCAGATGGACCAACATGTGGAGGCAGAGAACCATGCTGCGGCCAGTGATGAGATCCAGGGCGCCTAGGAACAGACTTGGCGCCCGTTTCTACAGGAGCTGGCTTAGCAGTGAAGTTATTCATCCGAACAGTCTTGTAGAGTGACTAGAGGTACAAAGTGCCTATGCCGCATAGCTTCTTAGTGTCCATCCAATCATGCAGCTGCATGATTCGAAGATTTCACTGATGCCATTTGAAACTGATGGACAAACGGTGTTTGCGCTTGTGCAGGGCGAGGCTGAAGCAGTTTTTTCGTAGCTAGTGAGCCTTGAAATGCCTTGAATAAACTTGGGTCATTTTAAGCCCATCTGGCCTCTTTACGCGTGCAAGGTGCAGACCTCATTCCTCCAATTCTGCGCTGTTTCTGTGGAGACAGGGGGTTCCCATCCCAGCCAGGTGCTTGCTTTGCGCGTGCAGAGCTCGTGGCAAAGGGTGCAGCACGGGCAAAAGGGGCCAGAGGAGGAAACAGTGTTGTCGAGCCAGCAGCCAGACTTGATGAAACGTAGGTTTGATATTTTTTTGCCGCTGCACGTGGGTGAGTTCATCCACTTTCGTCATGACTGCATGGGAAAGCTTTTTGAGACATGTCCTTCATGGTTGGCAGCGGACATTCCTGCCAAAGATTTTGGGTAACAAATCCCACATTTCTCTTGGCCTGGCTTGTGATAGTCTCCCCAAGAGGTTTCCGACGCAGTCTTATTTGAAGGTTAACTCCTTTTTGGACTCCTGGCTGGGCTCAGAGGAGTAAATCTCTCTGCGAGGAACCAACTTCATTGATCCTCATGCCGTACCAATGTCCAGCAGCCGAAGAAAAATGCAGGTGAATGCCCTTGCGGTCTGCACCGCTTGTGGCCCCGGTTTGTTCAGACTGTATTGACTGTATTGCTTTCAAGTTCCTGTTTAGTTTGCAAGCATTGCAGAGTTGCCACATCCCAAAGTCCGCAATGTGGCAAATCCAATAATGAATCATCCCTATAATCCCCCAAATGGTATAGGTTTATGGCCTTGGGTGACCTCCTCATTCAGCAGTTCACCGTATCGTCAGTGCAGCCATGGCAGACACAGGGCGCTGAAGGATGTGGCAAGACTTGCTGCCCGAGCGATGGGAGGCGTGTGATGATCGGCAAGCGGCCTTGGAGGCCGGTGATGGTTTCCGATGTGGTGGGAACGGTGTGATGGAGAAAAGGAGGGCAAAGTGGTATCCGGGTGCGGGGGCATGTGATTTGGATTTATCAGTTTCGATTGCATATGCTTCACTGGGTGTTGGAGGCTGTCGGCTGGCCCCAGAAAAGAGAAAAGTGTTTCTGTCGGATGGGAGGATGTTTCCTGATTTCCAGGATGTCAACCTTTGAGCCTTTTCTTGGTTGCGATGATGTAGCCGTATGTAGCCTGTAGCTATTCGTCAAGGAGTTGCTGTCAACTCTCCCCCAAGAAGCCGCAAGTGTCGTGTGCTGAGGGTCTTGAGCGATTGCTAGAGGCAGCAACCAGGCGAAATGAAGCTAGGCGGAGTGACTATTTTGGGGGATCCCTGATAGGGCCTTTATAAAGCCTTGAGAAGGTCTTATTTTTAATTTGGCAGGGGGGTCACTTGGGGGGGGGGTTCCCTTGTGGATCCCATGACGTAATTGAATAAAGTTATAAGTTATATTTATAATACTGTATATATATATATCTATATCTATATATATATATATCTATGTATTTATATTCACATATGAAAAGAGATGGCGATGGAAAAAAAATCGGGTGTGTGCATTCGTGTATATATATATATATACATATGCACAGACTGGGGCTACCGGATACACCAATGTATCCCAGTTGTAAGGGGCTTACAGCCCACTTGCTAAGCCCACCCCCAGCAACGACCCGGCAAAACGGACATGTCTCACGGGTGTTCATTACTTGGAAGGAACGATCACTGGGATGTTGCCAAGAGTCAGCCAAATCCTTACAAAACACCATGGTAAAAACCGCAAAAAAACACATGAGCATCTCAACCAATCCCATCTCAGAAAATACTGGTTGGATTGTAAATAATCCTATGATGGGTTAATTCATAATCCCCATTAAACGTGCAAAGGTAGTATAGCCCCCAAAAATGTACTGTAACACATAACACTCATATCCCAGCGAAGTTTGGAGCCTTACGGAAGTTTCAAGCCACTGAGTAGGGATCATGCAATCCTTCACTTCCTTTGGTCTCTGCCAGTCTGCAATAGGCAAACCTAGCTAATGACCTGCCAAGGAATGGGGCATGGAGGCAGAGGCTGAGGAGCTTCAAAAGCTGCAGGACATGGGGATATGGTGGAGAGTACGGAGGGTATGGAGGCTCTGGAGGGTAAGCGTGGGTAATCTTTGGCTTTGCCATCGTGAACATAGGGACGTGCTCATGAGCCGCGTATCCCCCTGGATAAGGCGGGGGGCCCGGGATGAACACCCAGCTGCAGGACCATGAGACCAAGCTCTTTGAGGGTCTCATTGAGGCAGGGATGGAGTCGATGGCCTTCTCCCAAACTGCTGGAAGGCTCGGGGGCAGCTGGGAGGGAAGCTGAGCTTGCTGCATGATATTTGATCTTTTTTGGAGATGGGCCAAGGGGAAAGCCACCCCCAAGAAAGCGGACCAAACTCAGTTTGGAATGTCCAGATCCGCAAAACTTCAGAGGCGTTCTGCCGTTGGGCTGATGTGGCCCAATTTCTTGGGTCAACTACCGAGATGACAAGGCCCAGTTTCTTAATTTTGATCCATAGCAATCAATGACTTTAGTTGTCTAATAACCAGCACGTCTTGACGTCGCTGAAGGTCCATGTGGGAGGGCGCAGTCAAAAAATCACAGAAGGTCCAAATATGTCGCAGCTGCAGGTGTCTCTATCTCTACAGCCTTTGCTTCAACGCCTTCCCCCAGCTCTGGAAAAGTCTGCTGCGTCGCTTCGGCTCGCCGTCGCTGAACTTTCCGCGACTGCAAGCCTTGCTGCGACTGCTGCGCTGTGTGCTGGAGACGGCGGCTGCACCATGGCAATTTGGGGCTGCATGGCGGTGGGGCCCTGATTCTTCCGGCATAAAATATGGTTCTGGGTCAAAGCTTCAGTGATTCAGTTGGGATGGTCACACTTCACCTGCCGCAGTAGCATTTTTTTGGTAGTTTTGGACCCGCAATTTCAAGATCACAAATCCTGGCTTAGCATTCGCCTGTCCGTACTGTTACAGTAATCATAAGTTATATTTTCTGGACAGATCCCTTGGCGGCCTCTGGATACTGTTCGAAGTTGAAAGCCATCCACTCACTGGCTGGTCCATTTCAGTCTGAGTCTGACATCATCTGATTTTCACATCCCAGTCCGAAAAGCACATCAAATCATCCTGATTCGACACGGCAAAGATGGTTGGTCTGTTAGTCTCCTGTTTTTCGAATCGGTCTTCCAGCAGTTTCTGCCAGATTTGTTTCTAGGATATCCTCTGGAAATCTCACCTGGGAAAGTGCCAAGGATCTGGCCCCACCAGACGATCCCGGTGGAGGTGGGGACCAAAACTGATGGGCCTACAAAAATACTGAGAGGTTCACAATGGTTCACAAATAGACAGGGAGGACAATTGTATACATAGATTCCATATTGTTTTGATCATGATGATTTTCTGGCTGGGGGGGGAAGCGTCCGACGACAACGAGCAGTTCAAGAGTCCTTTCATCCTCAAAATCACGAGAAAAGTTGAGCCAACAGAAGTGAGACATCTTCGTTTTTCCAACTTTCCGCCGATTGAGCCAAAATTTGCAGCATCCTATGTCAGGAGGTTCGCGGCTACTGGGAGGCTCTGTAGCCTCGAGACTCTTCGAGAATCTGTTGAAGGCGCGGGAGTTCGGGTGAAAGACGAGGATTTTTCCCCTTGATTAAATCAGCAGGACCTGTCATTCCTCTGCTGTGGAAGGTCTTGGAGAGGACGCAGCACCCAAAGATCTTGGGCGAAGTGGTGCCAACCTTGGCTTTGGCGGCACAGCGGGCCCCAAACGAGTTTAGCAAGTCCTTCCAGGCGCCGTGGGTCGAATGGCCCATGAAGATATCCGTGCGTTTCGTTGAAGATGTTGAAGATCATTGGACATTTGGATATTCTGTTCCTACGCGGTGTGGTTTGATTTTTCCAGGGATTTAAAGAACGGTTTTGACTACCCATGATGCTGCTGGTCTCCCATCGCGGGCGGACCTGCTTGGGATGCCATCTGGTTCCAGGAAGCTGTGAATTTGCTGGTCAGCTGGGCAACAAAAGGAGGACGTGGTGTTGCAGATTGCTAGGTCCAAGCACTGGACAGTCCCACTCTCGAAATCAAAATTAGGGTTAATCTGATGTGGCAATGGTTTGCAGATGTTTGTAGCACAGCAGGCCTGATGACAATTTTTCTCCAATAGTCAGGACACACACTGTTGCGCGTTTCCACGCAGGGTGGCATGACCGGCTCATGTGGTCAGGACTAACGGATGAGTATCGAATGATCATCAACAAGGCCTTCGCAGCCTTCAAGGCGCAGTGGCTCGATGCGCCTTGGACGTTGGGGGAAATTGACCAACTGGATCCAACTGGAAGATGAAGAGATGGCTATTTGAGCCCTGGGAAATCCATGGAAGACGATGGTAAGGAACGTGATGAAACCACCGTTTCACCAAGGAGCAACAACGAGGCTTCGCCTTGGCTGTTCAGGTTCAGGCAGGATGGGGGAGGCGACGGATGACCCCTGGCAAACAAAGATTTCCAAGGCAAAATATGGCAATGGGTGAAGAATCCTATGGATCCCGTCCCCAAACTTTCCATTTCCATCTCTCTGTACAAACACATATACATAGCTCATTCAACTAATTTATTTATTTGATTGTTGGTTTCTTGCATTTATTCAGTTATATAAAGTTATATTATATTATTAACTATTCATTTCTTTGCCCTTTTCCCATCTTTTCCCCGACAAACACGTGGATTCTCGTCTGGAATTCCCATGCCACAGGCGCTCAGTGATCTGCGCGAAGCTGCCAGCAGCGAATCCTGGGACCATGAGAGGTGCGGAACTGGGGAGATCTTGGTGAAGCTACTGCTGGGTCTTTCGTTTAAAGAATATATATATATATATATACATATAATATAATATATATATACATATAATATAATATATATATATACACATATAATATAATATAATATATATATGCACACACACATACATACATACATATATATATATGGCAACCACCCCAAAAAGATGCCAAACAGGTTCAATTGATCACTTTTTTAGTGGGAATGTACAAACATCTATCTCAACTTGGGGTTGACTATGACATTAAATGGATCTAACGGGCGGAGGGTTGACGTACAGAAATTGGGACGTAAATGACCGAGATGGTGGTTTTAAAACTGTATCCAAGCACAATTGTCTAGTAACAACTGCGTAACAAACTTAAAGGTAGACGAGACATAGCCGCAGGGACCATCAAGATGAACCTGTATGACAACATTAAAGATTGGACGTCCATTCGTTCCAACCAACGTAAACTGGACACAACCAAACTGACGTGGGTCACCATCAATCTTGTTCCTTCTCGCGTGATTCCCCAGCAGATTTGCTTCAACATGTCGCAGATGCTCGGGAGATGTCACAGATGCTTCACATAAATAAACGGCTATCCATTTCGAATGGAATCAAAGTCCCATTGGGTTTACCAGTTTTCCAGCAGTTTCTTGTAAGTCCCCCCCGACCTGCATCGGAGCCAGGCTCCACGCCTTGGTTTTCTGCTTCTATGGGGTCTCGGAACCCATGGGGACACTTGGCCCGCTGAAACTCCTGTCATCCAGCATGGAAATGGGGCAAGGGAGCAATTCGTGTAAACAACTTGGTGTTTTCTACAGATTTCGAAACCTTCACCACTTTTCGTTGTCCGCATGGCAGCTTCCACATGCCCGAAGCCTAGGAACCTTGGAGATCACTACGGCAACCTGGCCCCCATACTCCTGCATTGCATTGAGCAGACGGCCCAGCTGAGTGGTTTATGGCCAGGGCGCCACCAGCCGGGTGGATATGCAGATGCCATGGCCAATGGAAAACCACCCAAGGAAACCGATGGAATGTACCGTTCATCCCATGTATGATCCCACTTGTAAGTGGAGTCATACTTACAATATCTTACTCAATGGATTGGTGGGAAAATCTAGGAGAAACCATGGAATTTCCAATGTTTTTTCCCATGAAATATGGGATTTTGCCGTACATATTCCTTACAGCCCATGCTGCCCTGAAGGAGCTCTGGGGGCAGCGCTCCATCGCGCTGATCTCGCGGGGCATGTGCCACATTCGGCTGCATCCTGGCTGTTGACACAACTGGAATTCCAGCAATTTTGGTTTTATTTGATGGATTTTGATGGTATCTAAGTATGTTCATCATATTTTTCATGATGTTCATTGAATGTTCATCAGATTAATCCTTTCCAAAGGCTCTTCCCCCACTGAAGGTCATTCATATTTGCTGCTATTTTGACTGATGTTGACACCCCCAAAATATGTGTTGGTCGAAGAACCCGGCACGAAAATAGCTATCCGTTATCATCATTTTTTCCATGTGGAAATTGCACTATTGGGGGTTGAATTCGCAGCCCCAAAATATATCCGAACTATGCCCCCATTAACATCTCATCATTACTGATTATATTCTCATGATTGTTGGTTATATCTTATATCCCCATTATTGATCATTATTGTTGGTTTTGTCAAATGAATATAGTTGTGATATCGGGCCCATTTATCATGGTTTATCAATATAAGATTTCTTAGATACCAAATTATAAATATATATATATATCCCTAAGGTCGTTGGTTAAATCTCCATTTTTGTTAGGTTTAAATCATATTTTGTTGTTGATTAAATCCCAATTTCCGTTGGTCAAATCGCAATTTCAACCCCTGCGCCGAGGTGCACCTCAGTTCACTTGGCAGCCTTGAGGGCGGCAGGAGTTGAAGCGGAGGCGTCAGCGATGGAGGCCAGGATCCGTCGGAAAAAGATCTCAGTGGCACCTGTTGGTTGGAGTTTTTGTGTAAATAGTTTATGGGGGGGAAGAGAAAGAGAGAGAGAGAGAGAGATAGATAGATAGAGTAGATTGATTAGATTAGATTAGATTAGATTAGATAGATCAATCGATGGAGAGAGAGAGAGAGAGAGATATATATATATATATATGCACATATACAGACTCAGCTGTCCTGCTTTCGCCTTCACTTAAAGCCGCTTTTGCAATAGATATCTCATCCCTATGGTTTCCAGATATGCTTTCGGGGCAAGATGCTTTCGGGGCAGGTGTTGACCAGCAGCACCTTCGGACACCTCAAGGGCTTGTCGGACGTGGGCTTGAAGCAGCTTTGCCACGGGACCTGCCAGACCATGCTGGAAGGTCTCTGTGGAGAGGCTTGGGGACCTTGGGGATCTCATACTTTTGTAGGCTTGGAGTTCTGTTTTGAGGGCGTGGCACAGTTTTTTGAAATTCATCCGTTGCCAGCGCACTTGGCAGTTGGAAAAACTCCAGCTGAACAATTGCTGGGACTCCTGTTGCACATCCAAGTTTGCAACAGTCCGCGCTTGTTCGAAGCATTACATACCCGATATTCCCATGCTATCCCAATCATTGTTGATCACATCTCCACCATTTCCCCAATTCTTTTTGGACCCCCCCCCAGTAGTTTCGAGTGTCCCTTGGCCCTCCCATGCCGTTTTTTCAAGGTGCTGCAGAGGGCCTGTCTGCAGCAAATCCTTGGTGAGTTGCAGGAGAGGCCCCCCCAAAATCATCCTGTTTTAGGATATAGCTATGTAGTTTTATTAGATCTCACAACAAAACATTGGATTATATGACTATATATAGGTTTTATGGGTGTATATAATTGTATATATATATATGTACATACATATACACACTTATTTAAAAAGATATTGAACACATTTTCTTGATATGAGGGTCCAATGTAATTTCTCATCCCTGCAGGAGTCCTGCCAGAATCGTTGTGAGCGGCAGATGATGAACTTGGAGCTGCTCCAGTGTTTTGGTTCCAGAACCGCCCGGGGTCGATGATGGTCTATGTGAGCCATGAAGAAAATACACTGTTTGATGGGTTAATTTGTTGGGACTTATACTACCCGATTTATTTCTATTTTTCGATGGCTGATGTGGGTTTGTCTCAAAATTGCAGGAATATGCGGAACATACCCAAATTTCTCCCCAATATTTCAGTTTTCATGGCAGACATGATGATCAATCACATGATTTGGGGGGTCCAATTTTGAGACAACACCCCAAGTATTCCTTCAATGTGTGGACTGAAGCCTGGTCAACGGTGAGCCTCCAACGTTGGTTGCAACTTGAGATGTGGTAGGTAGGTCGGCAGGTCTCTTCCATCTAGCAGCTAGCACGTGGACCACCTGCAGTTACCCAATCCAATCAAATACTTGCTGTATACTGTAGATAGTTCAATTTTTATAAGTGGGTTTTAGCTTCGGTGAATGAGTGGGACGATCATCCATCCCTACTTTCAGTATCTTTCAGTTGCGATCTAATTCCTTCACCCGAAGATTGAATACACCCTTAAAATGAATAGATCCAACACTGCGCCAGGCTTGTAGGTTAGTGCTTCATGTCAAGGGCAAGGGATTAGTATTGAATATTAAGGGGAAGAGATTAAGACTATCGTGTGAGCATTTTCTTTGAGAATCCACTAAAATCCTGAAAATCATCGACAAAAAATCAGAAGAACTGTTTCTTCTCATGGGTTTCCAGGGATGAATTGCTACCTTTTCCAGCTTTCCCCACCTCCCAATCAGGCACTACCACAGACGCCTCTCTTCCGCCGAGCAAGCGGTCCTTGCGACCAGCTTCGTGACGCTACCGCGGCCACGCGGTGAAAAGCACGTGCGGCTGGGGGTGAAACTGCTGCAGCTTTTGGATGAAACCCAGGACCATCCAACGGAAAAATTGCACAACTGGGTGGGGGCTTGGGCTACCCATTCAATTCATGGGAGCCAGGTGAGGGACTTAATCAAAGTTAGCACTTGATTCCTGGGATGATCCTCCAAGTTGATCAGATCAAAACCTGCAGGTGAAATCTGTACCAGGCTATGAGAACAATGAAGGAAGGTGTGAGCCTTGACCATGTCGTTTGACCCTGTGCTATCGTAGCTGGACGAAATGTTCGAACCCTTTCCATGCGATACAAGCCCCTCGCCCCCAAGGTTGAATGTTAATTGTAGCAATGGACGAAAGAAGTCAAACCGCCAACATCACTTTTGCTAACGCGCGCGCTGAAATATTGAGATTTGGGGGTGCGGGACCCATCCCTGTTGCTACAGGACAAGCAAGCACTGATGGACGGGATCATTGAGATGGTTTCGGAGATCATTTCGCAGAGGCCATGGAAGTTTCATGGAAAACCGAGCGAGCCAGAAGGAGCTTCATTCAATAGACCTGGTACGCACTGAGGGTTCCAGATACCTGCCGTGCATGTCTATGGTACGGGTTGAAATCCCCCTGATCTTGGAATTAGATGAAGGGTGATGAAGAGAGAATACTTAGAGACCTCTAATTTGAAAGAGGATTTTCGTGCAGATGTTCTGTATTCAACCAATCCAACGACCTGATCCTGAGCCACAGATATGTCATGGTCCTCAGCTGGTGAGGCCCACGAGGGGGTTGCAGCTTTTGGAAGCCTTCGCCGCAGAGGGCCAGGATGGCCACGATGCCTTCTGGCGCTGCTTCGAGGGTCGGCTGGAGATGTGGGAGGGAACTTTTAAGGAGGCGGAAGGACAGAGATTGGCGGAATGCAACTTGGCACGGTTGGCGGATGGCTAAAGCTTCTGAAGGGCTGAAGAGACGAGGCGGTCTCTTGGATCTTCCGCAGTTGTTTGGATGGAATTGACACCATCACCCCACCTTTCTATCCATCCATCCATCCATCCATCCATCCATTTGCCAATCTCGAAATCTCCCAGGCACCCTCCAGCTGTGGCGCAACATCCCCCGCTTCGTACAGCTGCTTCAGCCGCGCCTGGCTGAGCTGATGGACCCCCTGCGCGACATGGCCCTGGCGCAGCGGCTGCGGGCGAAGCTCGGCGGCGCCCCGAAGCCGCTGAGGTCCCCCGCAGCGCTGCTGCGCGGCCTGCTGCCCAACACAGCGGAGATGAGTAGCGAAGCCCTGAGTCAGCTGGTGATGGCCTTACGCAACGTGGTGAAACGGTGGTCACTTTTTGGGAAGTTGGAGTTGGGTGAGGTTGAGAAAGTGCTAGTTCTTCTTTCTAGACTGGCATGGAATCATATGGAATGATCGGGGTTTTGCGATTCCATTTCTGATTGCATGCTATGGAAGAATTGAGTATGGATAGAACTTGCAAAGCCCAAAACATCTTAGCCAAATTTTGCGCGCACCAGTTCAAACTTCGGATCCCAAATCATTGTACAGTTTCTTTGAGGTTGCATTCCGCTGAACTGAGGCAACCTGAGTCCGCAAGATGATGGGCAGCAGCCCACGGAGGGGCGTTTCTGCAGGTTCCTCAACACGCTGCTTCGGGGCAGCCCAGGCGCAGATGGTTGTGGCAAGGGAATTTCAGCAGCAAACCTGGAACATGGACGGTAGAATCTCCGGTAGAATTAACAGAAACGGAGGTTTTATGAAGAGGAATGGGGTGCTGCAACGTTCGATTCATTTAGTGATGGTTCTGTGTGTCTTGCGCTTGATGGCATGGCCAACCCGCCTGCTATCCCCCACTAGCAGTGTGACACTCTGTTTACAGGAAGCGTTCCCGGGAATCTGAAGACTTTGTGGCTGCTGCTGATGGCTGCAGCATTCTTCGTGTCGCATCGCTTGAAGTCGCCCTTTGGGTCCGCCACAGCCAGTGGCTTGGCCATGTGAACTGTGGTGTGGTGGGCTGGGGGAGGTCGGAGTGTTGAGTGAGTATCCCAGCAGGTGTTTCGTTTTGTCTTGTTGAATTCGTGAGCATATTTTTTATGGAACTTCCGCCTTTCCCTCAGCAAGTATGGATGAAGGCGACATGCAGCAGTTTGTTTTGCGAGTCAGAAGTGCTGTCAACTCATGTCAACCCGACGCCCCTAAATCAGTGGTACCCCAGAATCTCATGGGTTGATAATAATTTTCTCCATTCATTTTTCCATATCATGGGTTGTTTGCAGTACCATTGGCAGACAAACCCATATCAGATATCAGTTTTCACCTGCTGCGACCCAAGGCATGCAAATGCTGGAGGCAATGCCCGTGGAGTCCTCTGATAAGGCACTGACACTTTGATTCAACGGCTGTTTGTTTATGACTATGTGAACATTAGTTAACTAGTTATAATTTCTTGCCGTTCAGCGGAAACTGCTGCACTTCTCATTTTCCCGCTTTTTTTTGGCCAAACTTTGGCAGGTCAAGCAGAAGGTCTCCGAAAGTTTGGCCCATGGTCGCAGTGGAGCCCTGCATGGGAGCATTGTGGAATCCAGCTTCTGCCCTTTGGCATGTGTCCAGGTGCGCGATCAAAACTGTTTCCTCCTAACGTTTTCGATCTTGCGCGGGATCACCAATCTATCCTATCCTATCCTATCCTAATCCTAGCCTATCCTGTCCCATCCCAGGCAAGACTATCCTATCCTATCCTAATCCTAGCCTACCCTATTCTATCATATTCTATCCTATTTATCGTCCGAACACCCAACATTGTACAGCCCTTTACCACTCTGATCCTTCCGATCAACAGGTGATCTTCGTCCTGGAGCAACTCATCTTATTGGCCCAGGAGCCCGTCACCTTCGCTCCAGGGGATCGCGCCAATGTGATGCGGGGCGCTCCGGCCACCCAGTTCTGGGACTCCAACCGCAAGGTCTGTGGCGAGTGGTTCCAGCGCATGCGTCCAGTGCTGCTGCAGATTTTGAACCGCTACGGGTCTGCCAGCGCCTGCTACGCGCTGACGCAGGCGCGCCTGGTGGATGCCCTCCATGCAGCCGATGGGCGCGGGAGCGTGTTGTCGGAGCAGGCGTTGCAGGCGCTGCTGAAGAAGAAACAGGAGGGACAGTGTCGCCGCGAAACGGTGCTGTCCACGATTTCGCCGGTCATGAGTGACTTGGGACACGAATTCAAGGGACAACTTTGAAGGACCTTTTTCAGAAGCCTCGCATGACCACCCCACTTTGAAAGAGCTCCTGGCTTGCTGGCTTGGAGCTCATGATTGCTTGCCAAATTCATCCCCGCAGCTATTGGGCATATAGCCTTGTACACATGATTTCAACTCTTATTGTGTACACAAATCATGTCAAATCACTAAATCCCATTAAATCCCATTAAATCCCATTAAATCCCATTAAATCCCCATTAAATTCCCATTAAATCCCATTAAATCCCCATTAAATTCCCATTAAATCCCATTAAATTCCCATTAAATCCCATTAAATCCCATTAAATCCCATTAAATCCTCATTAAATTCCCATTAAATCCCATTAAATCCCATTAAGTCCTAATTTCTACTTGCTTACCACAGCCGAGGTGACCGCGCGCCCTCTCCGAGTGCCGCGGCCATGTTGATGCCCACATTGGAACGCTTAGAAGTTCCCTCACGGACGCCTGGGAAGGTGACCATCTTGACAGATCCCAGGAACAGCCTGCCATCTCACAAGGCGGAGTCTGATGGGGGCTTGAAGCAGCAGTTACTGTATAATTCCCTTAAAGAGGAAACTGAGGATGAGGCAGTTGAGTTTTGTTGGGATTTCAGACCAACCCATGGGATGGGATGTACACGATTTTCAGGGCCAAAAAAAAGGCCTGATGATGGGTCAAGACCTACTAAAACAGCCATATTTGGGGTTGAACATTCATTTGCCAGCTAGTTTGATGTGAACAGAAGGGTGCCAGGGTTTTGACCCATGGATGGTAATGCAGGATTTCCCTGTGACAAATTTGGATTCCCTATTGAAGCCCTATTGGAATGTTTGCACACTTGATTTACAACATACCCCACCATGACATGAAACATATCATATCATATCGACATCGCCCATTTGAGAAACTCATCCCACCATCTGCCAGGCTTCCGAAGCTTTAGACCAGAACCTGGTTCCCCTGCTCTCCAGTGCCCTGAGTCTGCGGGATGTGGGGCTTTGCCGCGGTGTCATCACCTTGTTCTGCCATGGCAGCTGGGCCTATGGCGCCCAACCTGCTGGTGGATCCAATGCGGCCTGCACGGTGGCGGTGTTTCAGGATGCCTTGCTCAGCTTCGCAGCACAACACTACGAGGAGGCGAATCTGCAGTTTGCGGAGGCGCAGCGGTTGCAGGAAGGCCAGTCTACGATTGTGGAGGAGACGGCCAATGCCAGGTGAGGGGAGTGGGGGTGGTTGACCTTTCTGCCTTTCTACCCCCCTTCCATCCTTTCCTTTTGGCACTCCAGACAATAATTTCCATGAATACTTCACTGCTCCATCAATATCCATCAGTTGCAATTTCCACCTATAATTTACAACAATTTCCCACATTTTTGGTGAATCTGATCCTCCCATCCCAGTAAAACCTTACCCCTCAGGCCGATGGGCAGCAGCCGCGCCATGGAGTCCCTGGTGGCGCGCAGCTGGTTGGACTCCGCGGTGGCCGTCCGGGACGAGGAGGCGCTGGAGGCCTGGCTGGCTGCCTATGGCAAGGCGGGGGCCGTGGTGTCGCAGGGGCTGGTGGCCTTTGCGAAGTCCTATGATGCTTGGTGTGGTGGATATTTTTTTGGGAATTTCACTGGAGAGATATGAAATAAATTGAAGATAATAGGCAATAGGATGCAATAGGGATATGGATGGAGATCATTTGTTGATCAACCCGCACTTTTGCAGAAAATCTTTTGCAATCCTTTCTGGTCCGGCGCCAGCCGGGTCACTGTGACCACCCGGACTTTCCAGACAGCATGAAGACCAACACCATTGTTTCCACCTGCGAGGTTGACAATTTTTCTTGAATGGGGTTTGAATTTTAGAACGATTTCGTTTTCTTTCAAGTATGAGTTTTGCCGGCATAAACCTTCGTTTTCGCAGTTGATGGTAGAAACCTCTTGCCGTGATTGGAAGTATACCTTCTCAAAATCAAGCTTCGAAAGCCAGTGCATCTATGTTTCACCATCTAACCCCCAGCCCAAACATCCCCAACCAGCCACCCAGCACTGCCCAGCCAGCTGTGTTCCAAGGAAGCCCTGCTGAAGCATCAGCTGCCCTCCGCGCAGCGCGCCGTGCGCGAGGCCCGCGCTGGCGCCGCGGCGGACTGGGCCGAGGCCGGCGTGGCCGCGGAGCAGGTGGGGCGCCTGGCGCGGTGGGATGACCTGCACGCGCTCTTCACGGTGGAAGCGGTGGGGGATGCCTGGAGATGGAGGGAGATGGAGGATGGTTCAAAATGGTTCAGAATGGTTCAAATATGTTTGTTGGAGATGCCATCAGACATGTTTAAATATGTTGACATCTATATATAGAAGGTCGGATGTGTAGACTTATATTTATATAGATGGGGATGATGGGGTTTGAAGTACCCACAATTCGGTTGGGAAGGGGTGATGAAACGCGTTCGGTGCGGGAGGGAATGGGCAAACGAGCCGAAACGAGTGATTAAGCAACTGGTGGAGTTTGTGTATCAGTGGCGGCAATTCAGCTCGCTCTTGGGCATAGACCCGACAATTACAGAAGATACTGTATCATGTATCTCAATCTCACATAGAATGGGTTTTACTAAGGGACCAAGGCTTGGAAACCTCAATAGAATTAAGCCAGTAAATCTCACCAAGTGAGGGGTTGCAGGTGGATGCAGGTGATAGTTTTGGCAACACACATCCCGTCACAGTTGAGGCAGTTGAAGTGAAGCTTGAATCGTCGAAGGCAGCAAATGCACTGGCGCAGGCAGGGCGGCCGTGCTGACTGATGACTTCCCGGAAAGGCGATGCAACACTTTTAATGAGTCCCTCATCCATGAACATCCCATTTAAAAACCATGATGCAACACTATATCCCTCATCCAATCAGTCGCGTTGACACAGGCGCGCTCTGCGGTGGATGCTGAACTATCAGCTTTGTGCCACACTGAGCCCCTCTTGCTCACAGGGTCGCTACAGGTGCCATGGGAAGCCCTGAAGACTCGCGAAGGTACAAGAGGATGGCTGTGGCGTGTAAAACTACAAGCACGGGAGTGCATTTCTTATCTTTGTACATGGGAGTTTTGTTCACTTTACGTTTTTGTTTGTTCTTCTGTTTGCTCCTTTCTTTCTTTCTTTCTTTCTTTTTAGTGATCAATTTTCACATGGTAAAGTCATTGCTCATCAAAATAGCGCGACAAACCAGGCCACAGCATATGATCTAGCTCGATCTAGCTCGTACCATTTACGGCATATCTTGCTGGACACATTGCAAATCACAAACTAGTAATCTCTTCACCTAAAGATTAAACAACCACCAGAACCTGTGGTTTAGTAGGAGATTAGACATATTTGAGACCCATTACCCATTGAGAGATATTTTGGGTGTGTTTGATATTGGGGAGATGGGATTATCGCTTGACCAGGTGCAGGAGACGCTTCACCCGCAGATGGACCTCTTGGAAGTGCTGGAGCGGAGGGGTTGATTGCGCAGTTCAGCTACGAAAACCCGCTTCGAATTACGAAACAGGGATTTTGAATATTGAAAAGCGAATAATATTAATCCATTTCTCCTTATGTACGGGGACCCCCAGGGATGTCGTTGTAGCTTTGGGACTGATAGTCAAATTTGTCGAAACATGAACCCAGATTTTGATCTTAACATTGAGCGCCAGAAGATTCAGGCCATCCGAGTACCGCCAATGCATTGGTTGTTACATGCATAGTCCGAGTTGGACATCGGAGGCTGCAGCCAATTTTTCCCATGTCTCCCTCTTTTTGCGTTGTTTTTTTAATGTGCATAGAACATCATAGAACATCATAGAACTCCATCAGTTGGCAAACCAATATGCCAGGAGTCCCCTTCGAAAGCTCCCTCGACCACAGCGCTGCGCCGAGCCGCATCCTTCGGTCTGTTGGAAACCTTGCAGGCGCAGCGAAAGTAGCCACGGTTGAGGGAAGCAACCCCCAGGTATCTTGGGGACCTGCCCATTTCAGAATGTTTCAGAAGCTGCAGGTGCAAAACGCTGATGAGCTGCTGGAGAACTGCATGCAGGAGCACGGGGGGGGTGAGTGACTTCAACAATCTTGCCCCATCGAAAGGTTACGATGAAACTGAAGCCATGAGGTAGATAGCCACATGTGGGGCTTCTATATTCTCCTTCCCTTTTCGCCAAGGTTTTGACATGTTTTGCCCTGTGACTTATTGTCTCAACATCTCTGCAGCCCTTGGCATGGTCTCCAGCCAGGAGCGCAGCTACAAGCTGGCGGAGTGGATCTTGGTGACTTGGCTCATTTTTTTGCTATGGCAAGTTGGCTTGGTACATCATGCAGTGAATTGGGTGGCAGTGAGCCAGGATTTTCATGAGAAGCTGCCAGCCGGTCTGCCTGGGTAGCCACCCTCGTGAAGGCATCCCTTTATGAAACTACTAGCACTTGTTATTCCCTTTTCAAAAGGTAACTGATTGGTGGTGAAATCATGTTGAGCCGCCCGAGGACAAGGAAAAAGTCTCGATGCCAAGCCTTTGGCGAGCGAAGCTGCTGATGGCGCAGAAAGATCGTGTGGCCGAGGGCCTTCAGGTTGGATCACCTGTGTTGGTTTCGTCGTTTTTGGCTTGGCAGTTTCCAAGTACCAAAGTGGAGAGGGCACAAAGAAACCATTGCAGAAACCCTTTCTTTGTGAGCCACGTGAGCCACATGAGCCACGTGAGCCACGTGTTGCACGTGTTCAGGCGCTTGACTATGGCTTGGCCTCGTCCTTTGAGAAGCTGCGGGCCCAGCGGCAGCCGATGATCCAGGAGATTTCGGAGCAGCTTGGCGTTGCCCAAATGGCTGGTATACTGCTGAAGTTGGGACGGCAATCAAACACGAGATCTCAAGGGTCAAAAAATTGCTAGACGAAAAAAATTACTTTACTTCGTGTGACCCCCACCATGACATTTATCGATTTGTTACTGGCAAATCTTCTGGCATTCTATCTGACATATCTTCTGGCATTCTATCTGGCATATCTTCTGGCAATCTACCTGGCATATTTTCTGGCATATGTTCTGGCATATCTTCTGGCATTCTGTCTGGAATTCCATCTGGCATATCTTCTGGCATATCTTCTGACATCCTATCTGGCATTCTATCTGGCAAATCTTCTGGCATTCAATCTGGCAAACATTCTGGCACTTTATCTGGCATACCTTCTGGCATTCTATTTGAGATTCTATCTGGCAGGCATACCTTCCGGCATTCTATCTGGCATATTTTCCTGCAAAGTAAGAAGTGGCATTGCCCCGGTCACTCTACCACACACGCGCGAGTTTGCAAGTAATATATAACATACTTGTCTGACATTCTTTCTAACTTTCTTCTGCACATTCTTTGTCCCATATCTTCCTACATGAGGTCCGGCAGGGAACACTTGGCGTGGATACTCGCGGTTGAGGTCCGGCAGGGAACACTGGGCGTGGATGGTCGTGGTTGAGGTCCGGCAGGGAACACTGGGCGGGGATGGTCGTGGTTGAGGTCCGGCAGGGAACACTGGGCGTGGATGGTCGTGGATGAGGTCCGACAGAGAACACTGTGCGTCGAGGGTCGCGGTTGAGCAGGAGGAGGAGGAGAGGAGAGGAGGAGAGGAGCAGGCAACTGACATAAAATCTAACAACCCTCACCTGGCAGGTGGGGAACCAAGCAACAGATACACACGTCCGTAACTCTTAGTATTTGTATAACCTTCCAATTTTTTGGGATCCACCATGGCCACCCCAAGGCTCTCAATGCAGCTCCTCTCCTCGGTGCCACCGTGCCCTCCACCACGGCTGCTGCGGTCCCTTGGGGCCTTGGGGAAGCACCTGGCCGCGGAGGGTGCCATGGCCTTGGAAGGGGGAGCTTCACGGCCAGCCCAAGTGGCTGGTTGGTTGGGTATCACAGTTTGATCAGGTGAAAGTCTTGTAAAGTCTAGTGAGGGAAATGAACTCTTCAGGTCTTGTTTGGACTACCCAGGAAACAAGTTGAACATGGTTGAGCCGTGTCAGCCAATCCTCCAAAGTTTCGTTTTCATGAAGCGATGCCACCAGGTGCAGTGGCGCAGCTCTTTGGCCCCGAGTGGCAAACAAGTTGGCGGAACGTCTTGGGACAGGAACTGCAGCCCATGATCTCTACAATTCAGGGGGCACCTGCGCAGCTGAATCCCATCTTCATGGGGATGTGGCTTGGAAGTCGACAGCCGGTGGTGGGTGCAAAGATACAGTAGATGCATTTTAGTAACGCTATGGCTGCTATGGTCAAAAACTGGTACGGTCTTCCTGCATCTATATCGGGATCCAAATCCAGCCTCTAAGGGGATTCATCAGAAATCATAAGGGTTCAAAGCCATTGGTCAGCAGTGGACTGACTAGCTAGCTTTGAGCCACCATGGAGCCTCAGGTGGTTCGAACAGACCTGCAACCTCTGTGACCATGGAAAGCTCTGGGGCCAGTATGGCGACTGGTTGTTCTCCCAGGCACAGCCGGGATGCTCCAAACAAATGATAGATGAATCAAATCATATCATGTCATATCATATCATATCAATATCATATCATATCTTCCCACTGTGACAAACCCACCCGAAACCCTGGTTCATTGGATTTGTTCATTTGGGGCGCCCTGGGATGGGAGGTCTTTGCCTGGGATTCCCATCTCCTTGGAGGCTTGGTCCCTGGACCCATGCTATGTGGAGCTGCTCCTGACGGAGGCATCGGCTGCGCTGCCCAGCCCAGCGGCTTCCAATGACGTGCAGGAGCTGGCAAGACGAGTGCTGCAAGCCATCCGCAGGTGCCCTTCACCTCCACAGATTTTGGTGGTTGGTTGGGGAGTGATCCCCTATAACTTACAGTATGGGAAAGAGCCAAGTGGTGCCAAGTGGCTTGTTGAGAATGTGGTAAACCACGGTAAAGTCAATAAGAACCGATCCCCAATGTCACTGGAAATGTTTGGAAAGACCATCCGAAACTGGAGTCTTATGGTGTTGGGTTTGCCACATTAGCCCATCCCATTCTTATGATGAAAAGTTATAGTTTCATCCCCACAAATCCCAATCATTTACCGCAATCATGGATGGGTAAGATCATTTTTAATGCTCAAGAACAGTCATATTTTCTTGTCCCCCTTGTAGTAAAACCTCTATTTTATCCACAGCCACTATCACGGCATGTTTCGAAAGTGGTGCTACACATTGGCGATGCCAGGTGGGTGAAGAACGACGACACCCGAGGACAGATGTCACTGCAATGGCTGGTGAAGCACTCGAAGGCGTGGTGAAGCACGATGCTTAGCATTGATGGAGACTACTAGGAGATTTATCTACAATATAATAGCCCCCAAGAAGACATAGATGATATGGGAGGGTATAGATGATAATCACCTCATATTTCTGGATTCCCAACTTTTCTATATAATCTGTCCTATCTATTTCGGGGTTGCTATCTCATAGAAATGATAGATGGGGCTACAACCACCCATAACTTGGGCTAACTACGGATCGTGCCTACCTGATTCCGTTGGGTGTTTAGTCCTTGATTGCAGGTGGCACAGTGCAAACTTTGGAAGGCCCGGGGTGCTGGACAGCTAGGTGTTGAATACTTTGTGATGAGGACAGCTGAAAAAATATGAGGCATTATGCAACCTGATCTCATGCCTCATGTTGTGACTAGAATCTAGAACATTATGGGATTTGTTCTTGACTTCTATGCCGAAACAGCTACAAGCAATTTCACGAAGCACTCACCAATCCCATCCGATTATCATATCAACATGTCTCAATCATTTTTTAAAACTAAAGCCATCACAACAAAATGTCCTATCAGTGCCTTTCTGTGTGAATTATAAAAGCCCATGACACCTATAATATCAACCATCACACCTCCACTAACTATCCATATGCATTGAATCACCCACTGATTATCCAGTAACCCATTATATAATTATCCACCAACTATTTTCTAACATCTTCTAACTATCCAATAATTATCCAGCACTCATTCATTCGTTCTCCAGCCCAATCTTCGATTTGCTGAGTCGGTGTTTTTGTATAAAAATATTTTCCCATTGGTTAATGCACCATTTGCGGAATCCACTGTGTTTTTTTTTTTTTCTGGGGGGGGGGTGTTTTACAAAAATCAAAGTAAATATAGGTTTTAAATCATGTTTTTCTTTTATTTTGGTTACCCCAATCCAACCCCAATCCCCAGCCTAATCCACCAGCCTCATCAGGACCTGACTGAGCCGCTGCAGCAGCAGTTGGTTGAGCGCCTGGCACACTTGGCCAGCACCTTTGGGCAGTGGCAACGTGCTGCGAGCTGCGAGACCATTGAGGCGCCAGCGCCAGGGAGTGATCACATTTTTGGGGATGTAATGATGTAACCCCTCAAGTCAGGGTTTCCTTCAAACACAAGATCATCACATGTTTTTATATGGTTTTGGGTTGTAACCGTCCTAACCCATCAACCGCAGAATATCTGACTCCACGGCATCTCAGTATCGTGCTGCCAGGCCTACATGCGTCAGCTGAGCCAATCCACCCTGCAGTCCAGTCATCCCCAAGTGCAACGCGCCCTGCTGCGGTGCCTCCGGCTGACGGAGCGTGTTCGGGTGGAGAGTGATGCCATGGAACGTTTGGAGTGGCTTGGCGTGGTGTTTTTTTTGTTTTGGTGGTGGTGGTGATGGTAAATGGGGATTCCCTATTTTGAGATATCTTGATCTTGATCTTGATGATGATGATGATGATGATGATGGTGATGGTGATGATGGTGATGATGGTGATGATGGTGATGATGGTGATGATGGTGATGATGGTGATGATGGTGATGATGGTGATGATGGTGATGGTGATGGTGATGATGATGAAGAAGAAGAAGAAGAAATAATGGACGTGGCAATGGCGGCAAGGGCACCTGTTTCCGAAAGCACCACTTTGGTGCTCTTCTAAGGACCCGCTTTTTGGAGCCTCTGCTGCCCCAGATCCTGGCCTACATGAACGGTACCGAGCCCCAGACACCGGGTTTCACCAGCCGGTCGGGGTAAAACGGAATAGTTGGACGTTCATCCCATTTCATCCCGAGAATCCTAGGCCCTAGCTGAAGACCCAACAGTGGATGATATGGATGGGCATATTGAACATGTGGAAGCTTGAAACAGAAGAACATGGTAACATCAGATATCACGTGAACATAGTCCACTTTGCACACTTTTTTCTGTTGATTGGAGACCTCCATGTTTCGAATGTGGCAAGGCCCAAGTCACTCGGAGCGGGACGTGGCGAACGTGGCCACAGGTGCCGGCTTCAGATAGGGATGTTGGACTGTTATGGACTGTTAGACCTTGGGCCCATCAGTTAGAGCTGAATTTGGGCCTACCATCACCTGGGAGATGGGTTTCCAACTAGGCCTCTTCGACCGCGTGGCCGAAGCGACGCCTCACCTGGCCCTGTTCCCTGCCTTGGCAGCGGAACCGGAGAAGGCTCTGGCCGTTTTGTTGGATGACCGTCCCACTGAGACTGAGGAACTGCTTAGTTTTTATGGCCGTTATTGGTTGGGTATCATTACCAGTTGCAAAGGATAGAGGCATACGGCATCTACAATCTACACATACCCTACCTACCCACCTGCCTCCCTGCTCAGATGATCATCCAAGTAGCAAATCCTCAGGCGCTGGGCGTGGTCCAGCGGCTGCATCCCAACCTCTTGTTGTCGGCGCGACGCTTCTCGGTGGCGTTGAATGCCATGGCCATTCCAGTGGATGAGGTGCCAACCTTGGGCCTTGGGAGCTGTTTTGGATGTATGCATTTTTTCTGAACAAAAATTGATATTTGGTGAGCATCGATTTTAAGGGCAATCGAGGGATGGGGATTGAGGCTCGCCATGAAAAAGGCTTTCTGTTGCAGGTCTGTGCGCGCGTTCTGCAGTTCGCTGAGACCTTCTTGGCACCCAAGAGCCCTGAAGAGGCGTGCAGATCTAGTGCCTGAAACCAACCATGTTGGATCGGACTAGTTACTCTTTGGACCGGTTGGAGCTTTGCAACCCACCATGCATAAAGTGGTGACTGGCTGCAGCTCAGAAAGCAATGATACTCAAAGCTGTGGTACCGTACTGGAAGCGTCACTACCGGAAGTTAAAATCCATCCCGCACCACACAACCACATTGTTTTCCCTTGGGCTCCCAGCCCTGGATCGGTTGCCCATGGTTGCCCTTCCCCTGCCAGATGGTAAGCGCGGTGCCTCTGCTGTTGGCGCCGCTGATGTCGCTGTTGCAAGCCTTGGACACGGAGCGGCCGCGGCCAGCCACCACGGAAGTTGAGGCGCAGGCTTTCCAGTAAGCTGCAGGGGCAGGGGCAGCCACTACCAATCACAATATCATCCATTTTGAAAAACCCAACAAATGACCGTAATATACCGTAATTAGATAGTTGGGCCATCCTGAGGCCAAGAAGTATCTGCAGATCAAAACCACCCGCGACCACAGCAACTTGCAGGTCTTGGGGTTGATGGGCTGCGCGCCCTCCTTGCAATCCACCTATGCTCGGCGCTTCCTTCAGCTCTTCCTGCCGCCATTGCGCAGGTCAACTTTTGGGATGAAGACCTGCAACTACACACTGGCTGTTTTGCTGTGAAGAGTCTGGGTATTCGTCAAATACCCAAGTCTTAGGGTTTTCAAGTCTGATCCAAATCCCATTTCCACACTAGATTTTCGATGCATAACTTGGTGGTTCAGCTCACTATGTGCCGTTTGGGCAGGATGGTCTACCAGCACAAGCAGTATCTGTCCAGACCTCCCACTACTGGCCTTCCTGAGCTGCAAAGGCCACCTGATTTTTGGGCATGAGGGGAGCTGCTGGTAGTCAGGATGGGGAATCTAAGCATCTAGATTGGGGGATGTTCTGGAACTCTGAGTTTCCTGGAGGGGTTTTGAAAAGAAACTCACTCCAAGGGCCAGTCAACATAGGCCAGTCTTTATGGAAGGAGCGTCCCTCTCCACCTTTGGATGAGAGACCTGATGGATTTCAGCTGCAGGAGTCTGTTGGCACATCTCCACCTACTGCAAAACACTTGCGGGAAATTTTCGCACTCCAGCGTGCCATTGGCGGATCTGTCTCCTGAGCTGCTGGAAATGCCTTCCGGCCATCAGCTGGGATTGGGCTGGGATGGTAGGTTCCGTGGACTGGTCTGGATCGTAGGTGGCACAGGGTTGCCACAGGTGATGATGATGCAAACATGGAGATTGGATGAGACTGGATGAGATTATATAGATTAGATTGGACGATGAAGAATGTTTCAAGTATTCTTCCCATTTTAATTGTGACACGCAGGGATTCCACTTCCCAAAGGCGCCAATTCGCAAGAAACCCGGCATCCGCAATGAGTTTGGCACATGTTGGGCAGAATTATTTGTTCGTTATTCATGTTCCAGCTCAGCCTTAAAATCAACCCTGGATGAATTGGGGGTACCATACAAAAAAAAACGTAGCAAATCAATGCACATCATCACTTTGTGGGGGACAACCCGATGCCCGATGCCCGTGAACGCACCAAGGTTCAAAGGTGACCAAGAGATCATTCTTCCCATCGAGGTGGTCCACGGCGAGGGGCGCCTGATGCGCTTGGTGCGCGCCTCCCAAAACGCGCCTTGGAGTCAGTGGGGTTAGCGGGGTCCGTGGGGTTACTCGTTTTGGGTGGGGAGGTTGCTGGAAGGAGGTGTTGTTTTGGCATTCCAAGGAGTTCAAGCTCTCAACATTTTAGGGGTATGCTGCTATGCTGTATGCTCTGGTATTTAAGATGGGAATTGGACAATTTACATCAATTTACATCAGTTAACTATGTGCAGACCTACCAATGAAATCTACAGTTCTCAAAAAACCAATGCGCACTTCCCAATTGATGGCCATGGCATTGGATCTGGCAAGGTGCAGCTTCTGTCCACCAAGACAAAGCCCAAGAAATTGGACTTCGCAGCTGGGCTGCCACATGGGACACACATTGGAAATGGTGACGACAGAATCAGGCAGGTCCTGCAGGTGGCTTGGTGTAGATTTATAAATGTATCTTTGTACATGAACAAACACACACAAAGCTAGACACGTAGATAGATGTACATACAGATACGCACAGGCAGATATCACATAAATCAATAATAATAAATACATAACCATATATATGCATATGCATATGTATATATATATACACACTTCTCGGCACGCAGACGACTGCGCCAAGGAAGCACAGGATGGCAGTTGGCACAGCTTCCTGCTGAAGGGCCGTGACGACCTGCGGCTGGATGGGCGCATCATGCAACTGCTGCGGATGGTACTGAGGCTGCGTTCAGTGCTTTGTTGGGGGTCAAAAGCTATGATACTAACGCACCAAAAGACAGACAAGTAAATTCTCAGTAGAATAGTAATGCATTACTCTACCTTTCTATCATTTTTGAGGGGGTTCAGAGTCTTTGCTTGGGGATGAACATTGAAATAATAGCAACCATTTTTTTGGTGAACAGGAGGCCACCAAGATCTTGAGCCAAGGGGTTTGCCTTTCCAGGGGGCTCTGCCAGACGTTCCTTTAGGGAAGCAGCACGCTAAGCTAAGCGGAATGGATTATTGTGACAGGAGCTGACAGGATCAAGCAAACTTTCAATTTTGTTGATCCACACCCATGTCCACATGTGTAGATATTTCTACACTCATCTACATCTATGCCCACATCTATGTCTCTACATCTGTCTCTTCACCCGAAAAAAATATGTAGATACAAAGAGAAATGCTGAAATAAATGCATCGACAAAAACACACCTTCACATAGCAAACACAGAAGTAAATCCATTGATCCATTGAATTGCACAAATGATGAGTTTTTTTCTCGAATCTCTATATATATAATATAAGCTAAGTCAACATCCAACTCCGATTCACCTATAAAAAATCAGATATAAATGATAATAATGATATAACACATCTAAGTAATATGTATAAGAATCACCCAAAAACCCCATAACAATCACCGAAAATTCGACATATTTCTACTTCATTCCATCCCTAAGGCCAATGCGGTGGTGGAGACCTCGGCCTGCAAGGCTTTGGAGGTGCTGGGCCCCAAGGGCGCCCAGTTCCGCTGCCGCGGTTACGATGTGGTGCCCATCGCGCCCAGGTGGGACAGATCCCCAGAAACCAGAGGGGGATTGGAAGGGATTGGAAGATATCTTTGAGTTTTTGGGATCATAACATCATCGAATTTTGGGGCCCTGATATTTATGGATGGGATGGATGGGATGGATGGATGGCAGATTTGACGGTTGCAAGTCCCATCAACTTTGATTGGGTCTCTCTCAGGCACATGACCAGCGGATATCAGTGTTGATGTCTCAATCTTTGATTACAAAACCCTGGTTCATAAGTTGGGGATCCCCCCAACATATATGAACTGTGATTCAAACGCACCTGCCAAATTGACACTTTCTTTCTACGAGTTTATTAATTCGGGTTTGACATGAATGTCGTAAACCCAAT